GATACAGCAAAAAAGTCTAGAAAAACCGGCTGAGTGACAGTCGGCCATCTATTGACCAGTTCTTTCTTGGATGTGTGACCCTGGTTTGCTATTCTGGATTGGCATGGGAGAGGTGGGAATGGAGCAGCGTGATTGGATGGGATTGGGGAGGATCATCCAGTAGTTAGGGGTTTCTTTGGAGTGATGGATGGCAATGGAGTCGCATACGGATAGGGATTGGGATATGCGGCGACGGATACACCACGCACGTATGTATGCATATGAGAGAAGATGAATGGATGGATGGATGGATTGCACACGATACCTACCTAGCATTAGAGATGCACAAGGGATAACTATGTAGGTGGACATAATTTGTGAAGAGGGACCGACGAGGAGTAATGCAAGGAGAGCAGAGCGAGCAGCAGCGCGTTGCAAACGAATGACTTTCTTTCGGGAATTTTCGTGTGGCATTTTCTTGTCATTTGAAGGGGCTGGGCGAGAGCAAGCTTTCGTTTTTCCGTCCGTCTCGTTTCGCGAGTGGGCTGGGCTGGGCTGGGCTGGGGCGCGCAGAGTAGAGTGGGCTCTCGAAGGTGTAACTTGCAAACTTGCAGCAGATGGATGGGCAAGAAAGACAAGGCAAGGCGTGCACGCAAAGGTGAGTAATTGAGTGATTGAGTGAACAAGGAAGCATAGGTAGCTGGAGTTCAAGGTTTTTTCCCTTCCTTCTCTTCTCTTCGTAGGTAGAAATGGAATGGAGGTGGGTAGAAACGGATGAGATTGATTGGATAGTAATATGTGTTCCTGAAGCTGGGAAACTTGGATGGTCCTGGGAGAGAACGGGTTGATTGATAGTTGATAGATAAAAATTGGATAGATAGTAGATTGATCAGTACCTAGATAATAAGATGCGTTTGATATTGGAATGGAATTGATATTTTTCTTTTCGCGTTTGTGATTCTTTCTGTTATTGATTTGCTTGGTATATATTATATCTCTTATACATGCACGCAAAACAGTCAAGCAGCCGAAGATATCTTTTCACGCGTTTTTCGTGATTTGTGAAGATAGAAAGAGGAGAAAAAAAACGACTTTGTGAGGTTCGTTCGGGGTGGGTTTTGAGACATTTTGACATTTTTGTAGAAGCTTGGGACGAACGAATCGAGAATCGTTTTGTGAGGGGATTTTCGGGTCTGGAGAAGAAACTAGGTATATTTATTTATATTTGAAAAGACGAAGAAGGGATTGCGCGCTGTGCGTAGCAGATTGTGGATGAGTTTATGAACTTCTTCATCACATCATTTCATCAGCCTTGTGTCGACTTGGTGTAAGGTGAATGAGGTGAAGGCTAGATAGATATTTTGGTACGTTTGTTTGTTTGGTCCAGAATTTATATGTTTTTGTTTAGGTATGCGATGCGAAAATCATAAACTGGAGTCATTGGAATGAATTCATTCATAGAACCAATTCACAAATACTGATTGCTTTTTGGGGGGATGCTTAGGAAACAAGCAATGGTTTCGCAGGCAGAGCCGACCAATTCGCTGACTGTTCGAGGTCCTTCGTCGGTCGTTTCGAGAGCGAGTACTTCGAGACATCATCGACGTCACGGCCGAAGTCATACAGGAAGTTCTTCATACATACCGCAGAATGATTTTCCAATCTTCACGCATACCGGGGATGTGGAAATTATTATAAAAGCTGGCGCGAAAACAAATCGATACTTATTACACCGACTTATCCTAACGAATTGTTCGGGGTTTTTTGAGACAAGCACAAGCCAAGAATGGTCGAGAGCTACTGAGGTTGGAGGGACGGGTGGAGGGGAATTAGCTAGGATAGGTGAAGAATCAGGCAGTGATGTGGGAAGAAATGATGGTGTTCCGAAAAGAAGATGGAGGTATGAATTGGATAGGAATACCGACGATATACCAATGCTCGTTCAAAGGTCGGAAACCTCACTGTCCCCCTTTGGCGCAAACGATAGTCGGCCACCACCTCCCGTACGAAATAAGCCTCCTTCATCCAATCCTTCATTCTTTCGCTCTGTCGCAAACTTATCCATCTCCTCCCATTCAACTCCCGCGCCTCCGCAGATAACACAAGAAGATCAAGATCTGCTAAACGACTACGATAATCTATTTCGAATCTTTTATAATCACTCTCCACTTCTCGATTCTATCGATATCGCTACCGCATACATACAATGTAAATCACTTCTCACACTTGCCGATCTCTACGATGCTTTGGCAGTTGTTGGGCCGCGTATCGATCATCATCTCCTACAATTTCAAGGTCGTCTTTGGAAACAAATCGCTAAATATCCTTCCTCATATCTTAAACTCGGCTTTCTCTCACAATCGAAAACGATATTTGGAGAGGCTCTCATTCATGTTGTAGGCGCTTGGCCAGCTGGAGAAAGACATATTAGGAATCAATTACCCGATCAAGTTTTGGAGATTATAGAGGATAAAGTAGAGGATTTAAGGGATATGGTTGGGAGTGTTGAAGGGCAATTATTTCGATTAACTTTATTGACTTCAAGAGGAGAGAGAGTTAATCCGGGTAATGCTTATGCAGATTGGCTGGTGGTTAGCTTGTTCAGACAATGGCTTGCGGAAAATACATCGCCGCCTCCTGCTCCTCCTCAGCCATCCCCTAGATCTCGTCAATCTAGTGGTTCCCATAATACACATCATTCGCGAGCTTCTTCTCTAACGATCACTCAACATCAACAACCTCCTCCGTCAACTATATCGCAAAATCAACAAATTGGCAGGACATTTAAGTTATTGGGTAATGCATCTAGTAGTGCGTACTTAGGACATGAAGACTGCAAGCGGTTTTTGAAGTTAACGCCGGAACATTATAGTAGAGAGGGGCTAAGAAGATTTGAGAAGAGAATGGATGAGATGAAGGAGATGGCAAGGAGGGTTGTGGCGCCTTTGATGAGGTGTGGGTTAGAAGGAGAGGGTGTGGCGGTGGGATATCTAACGTGCACGAGAGTGGAAGAGAGGGATTTCGTTTGGTTGTAGGAGGAAGGGGGAAGGAAGTTGGAAACGTCAATTTTCACTCTCACTCCTCAAAATACTCAATACTTTAGGCTGCAGTCTAGCAGTCTAGCAGTCAGATTCTTGAGTCTTGATCTCCTTCAGATGCATCGTTCAATCAATTCGAAGGATCTGTCTTGTTTGGATTACTTGATTACGTTGGAACAATCAACCAACTCAATCGGGATAATAATTTGGTCCGAGGGAGAGGGAGAGGCAATGAATACACGGGTCTATGAACGATTCTTTGAAAGAGTCTCTGGAAAAGAGGAAGCAACTGCGATATACGGATATGAGCAGTACGCACTTCATGAATAACGAGTCGAGACGATGACGGACGAGTAGAGCAAAACCAAGATTGGATGATACAAAACGATGATCTCTTCTTTCTCCCTTTCTTTCTTTCTTTCTTTCTTTCTTTTTTTTTTTCCTTCACTTTCTTTCGTAAAGGCGAGCGAGTGGTGGTTTTGGATGGCTTTGAATTCGAAACGAAACCTTTCTGGCAGGATACCCTTGGCAATTTTTCTTCTTCGATTTTTCTATTTTATTTTACTTGACTTGACTTGTTACAAGTACCTAGTTTTATTTACGTTCATGTTTATGGTTATGTTTATGATGATGATTTGGATTGGTGAGGGAGGGAGAGGGGAGGCAAGGGGAGTTTTTGGCTTGTGTCTTTTATTTTATTTTTTGATATGGTGGGAGGGGTGAGGAAAGGAGAGGAGAGGTTATGATTTGATTCGATAGGATAGGATAGGATACGATATGATTGATGGCTACTAGGCTGGAGGATGTTGGGATTGGATGTTGGAGTAGGTACATAGCATAGTGGTTACGCATCAGTAATGAATGGATGAATGGATCTATTTGTCTATATATTATCGACCTTTGCTTGAACTGTGATGGTTCTTGATGAAAGGATAGCATGTGATGTGATATGATGGGATGTAATGTGACTGTGAAGGTAGGTGAAGTGGTGAAGTGGTGATGGAAGAGAGAGAGAAAGTAATAAATAGATGGTTAGATAAACGATTGCACGTATATACGTATGTACGTATGTATATACACTGCGGAAGCAGACATCGCTACGAAACAGAACATACCTAAATCGACAGAAGAAGAAGCTAATTACATATTGCTCTGGATGTATGGAATGGATATATCATTATCAGTTATCTGTGCTTTCTACTTGATGTGTAGTCACTTAGTCAGTCAATCAGACTATTCATCTCTGGTCTTCCTGGTGGTTCTCGATTTCTTCTGGGAGGAGGGGTTTTGGCGGGCGATGATGGGCGGGTTTAGATGGAAAGTAGATGTTTTTTTATACGATTGTAGATTGAAATGAGAGGTGCATGGGATCTTTTATATGTCTTAGGTGTTTTTGATGTTTGGGAGCGAGAATTTTGGTTTTGATTTGGGGATATTGAGATGGAGGGAGGGTTTTGTGAATCGAATGGTTTTGGTTATTGGATTGAATGGCGAGATTGCTTGCTTGCTTGATAGGTAGGCCTGGGTTGGTGGAAAAGGTATGTTTTTTTTTTTTGTAAATATAACTCTGATATTGGAGGGGGGATGGGTAATGTAATGGGATATGAAGATTGGATCTTGAGAGTTTAAGAATTTGAGATTGTAATTTAATGGTCGAGGAGGGAGGGAATAGGTGGCGTATCATATCATATCATATCGGATTCTGATGTTGAGATGATCGTTGATGACAGTATCCAGGTTATCTATCTATTGCTACAATAATTAATACATTCCGTGTTGAAGACTCATCGATGAGACAGCGGCATATACATATCAATTATCATTTTTGGGGAGTCGAAAGATCGAATGTCAATTTCCAGTGCATCGCCATGAATCTACCAAATCGCGTCTTTATGTCCTTCTATAGAATATCAAGTCGCAGCATAAAAGAAAGACCTTTGCATTTACCTCTACCATTTTCGTCAGTAAGATCAAGCCCATCAAATGTCGAAATTGGTCAAGCTAATAAATCGTCGAGATTACAGAACGAAAAATGCAATGGCAAAGATCACAGTGGTCGAAAAGGCCGCAACGGACACTCCTGAAAAACCTTTCGGCGAGGTATGGAAGATGATTGCAAAAGCCTTTCAATTTGCTCAAGCTAACAAATTACAGAATAAAAAGCGCCACTGCAAAAATAACAGTGATCGAAAAAGCCGCGACAACATCATCGATCTTTCTCATAATATAACGTCAATCTCTTAATTCTCATCGACATATTCAACATACATTTTCGCCCACAATCAATGCTAGCGCTTCTGCTTCAGTAAGGAGTAGTAGGAGACGCTTAATTCTCATCGATATATTCAACATATATTTTCGCCCACAGTCAACACTAGCGCTCCTGCTCCAGTAAGGAGTAGCAGGAGACGTTCATAAAACTGAGTATGGTCGATACTGAGAAGCCTTTCGGCGAGGTATGGGAGATGCAAAAGCCTTTCGATTTGCTCAAGCTAATTAATCGTCGAGATTACAGTGGTGGAGGGGGTGGAGATGGGGAGAAGTGGTGGGGGGGACGTTGATAGGTAAGAGGATATCAAGAGGAATTGAACTGTGTGGTTGTGATTGAATTGTGTGACTGCAAATGAATCGTGTGATCGCGAACGAATTGTGTGGCTGTGATTTAATATGCCACCACCATCTCAATCATCGCACAGCGAACAAACACAACAGATCTCAAATCCATTTCATGCCTTGATAAATCCGGTCTTGTAAATGTGAATGACAGACATCGCCAGCTTGGGTATAGTTGTCATGGGGATGAGGGGCTTAACTGATATGTATGCAGTTTCACTAGAACCCAGCTTCAAAAACATCGATATGGTTAGTCATGCGACCAACAATGTGAGATAGTACCCTTACAGTGATTGACATGCCTAACATGTCTCCAGTAAGTAAATTGCTGATAAGGATGTGAGCACGATTGGGGTGACGAGACATAGGCCTTGGTTTGATGAGGAAAAGTACGATGTATCTGATAAATAGTATCTGCTTTCGAGTACTGTGCTAGGAGAGTCATGGGACGAACCGATTGAGCTGTAGAGCCTCTGCTTGTGCCGCTCGGACTTGTAGCAAGCCCGTTTATGTGACTGAACTTTTAAATGCGAGATTAAACCCCCGTTGAGCCAAGTCTCAATGTTTCAGCTACCTACTCGAGCTACACTGCGGTTTCTCCCATGGCGTCCAGCTATTGAGCTCTTAGACTTCCACGGATCAGACCTGGGCTCTCATAACTGTCTGTTATTTGCTTAAACTCTTGCCCTCGACTACTCAATATCATTAAGTGACTGATCATGCAGATATGCTGGCATCCTCGCTGGGGCGTATGATTTGTAATCTGCCCAAGGAACTTGTTCGAGAGTCAACTCGCAGATCAAGAATTGAGAGTGCTATGATACGAGTCCTTCATTGCATATTGGGGTGATGACTGTGTAGAGAGTTTGATCTTGTTTTCTTGTAATATACGTGTTCCGTTCATATTCTATTCGCAGAATCAATGAAGCTATACAACTAACTTCCTAGGCATATCTATTCAGATACCTTTCATCACTTCTTACATCTACTCTTCCACGATTTAAGTCTTTTTCTTCTTCAAGCCCCAGCTAAAAAGCCAAGTTCTCAATGAAAAAAAATCCCGAAGGAAGCAATCAAAAATTCCCCCGATGGGGACCCCGAAGGATACCCAACGATTCTCGTCGCCCCGATGTGCAATGGAGGACTCGTATCATAGCACTCTCAATTCTTGATCTGAAAATGCTCCGAGAAGGTAAGTATGAGGTTTTAAAAATTGAGGGAAGAAAGAGGATATTATATAGAAAATCAGAGATGGCTTGTGCACGCTAAGGAAGAGGCCAGTTGGTGCAAATAGAGCAAACATGGCTTAATTGGGGATAGTGCGTGAATCTAAGCGGATGTGGAAGAATGTGGATCTATGACCATGGGTGTAGTTGGAAAGTTCATGATCAATTTTGTTGATTAATTCAAAAAAATGTGTGGTTTTGATCAATCCGTATTCTCTAGATGGAAATCGCAAACAGATAGAGGTAGCCAACATAGGTAGCAAGGTACCTTTCTATGTGGTATACAATGCACACTTTAACACAATTTCACATCGATTACACTTGAAACTTACTTTCATTCTTTTTACAACCATTTTTTGATCGTAATGATTCTAAAGACGACATTGGAAGTATTTACGATCAGTCATGATCAATAATTCTATCATGTCATTTATCCACTTCCACTTCACTATAGTCATCCATCCATTTTCTTAATTCCTATCATTGAATCTCTTTTCTTTTCACGTCAAAATGAAAGCTGGCGACGTTGGCGGTGTTGCGCTTTACTTATGACGGGTTGTCAATCCTCCATCCCCGATTTTTGTTTGCATTGAAATGCCACACAATGATCTATCTTATACAAGTGCTTGAAGTGATTTGGATTGGGATATGGTTAGCTATCACACATTGAGGAGCTCTTGGAATATTGGTCGTTTCTTTCAAGATATTGCAATCATCAGATTGTCTTGAGCGTAGTAAACTGTTCGCTCGTGTTCTCCTCCATAAGGTAGCATCTTCCTACATTGTTTTCTCTACATCATCGTCTCGATATGCAAGTCTGGGCAAAATGCTGACTCCGATCTAGTGCTTTCTCTCGAATCTCGTCCCCTTAAGAGTGATACAACTGAAAAGTGATTTCTTTCAGATAAATTTGCAGAGATATGGGGGGATCATGTCTTCTTTTACACGGGTTGTCATTCTGATGTTGATCATTCTCAGTTTCTCCCTATGAAGCCAGCACCTGGCCGAAGACTATTCTATACTTGTCATGGTGAGGTCACTTCAAGGTGACTGTACTTATTCAGGCGAATAAATGCATCCATTCTATCAGACAATCATACAATCACGACATCCCTGTCCAAGATACAATGATCCGTGAGTTTAGAATCTACTATCTTCCCTCGTACAATCGAATGTGCTGACTCTTTTATTTCACGTTAGCAAGCTCACAAATTATACCTTCTTGATCAAACACCGTGGACTTGATAGCGCTTTTCTGTCCAGAAATACAGCTAGTCAATGTCTCATCTTTCTATGGTCCGAGTCTGTCTAGAGCATCCCCGGTGTCTGGTGACGACTAGCTAAGGTCAATATTATCTCCAGAGCTGGACAACCCATCAGTTCTGAATGTCCGGCATTTCCTAAAACAATCAAGCATGCTAACTCTTCGAATTTCAGTTTACGAGGCTGTACATCATTCACGTTTGAAAGACACGATGTTGCAACGGAATTGGAACTGAATCTACCATGATACCATACCACGGTTATGGCTATACGGTCATTCAACGCAACTAAGTATCATTTGTGGTGAACACAGTGCCGATGATGAAGTAAGCATATCATTGTCAACTGCCATAACATCCTTCGCATTTCATAAAGAAAGGGTGTGAGTCTGTGTCAACAAATGCGCGTGCTGGATAACAGACATAAGTATGAATTTCTCCAACACCACTTGAGTTAATGGTGTGCAGATACTCCTCTTCCAGGAGCCTTCCAATCACAAAATGAACCACCATACATGTTAATGACTAGAGAAACTCTTTCTAGATGAACAATTAGTAAGCCGTTGAATGCTATCCTGCGTCCAACAACATAAAGCCGCGATACCCCCACGGTCTTGGAGACGACTCTTTCCCGAGTCGAGCAATGCTAAGGACATTTTCAAATTTATGAGAGAATTATAAGAGTCATAAAATTACAGACATTATAATATATTCGAGTGGTGCCCGGATATACTACCCTTTGTGGAGATTCTGTGAGTCTTGAAGCTGCATTCTAAGATTAAGCTTACGTACAGATGATGAAGAGAAGGTGATGATCAGAATCGAAGCGTCATATCATAAGACTACACAAGACAAAGAAGTGTTGTTGAAATAAGAGATGAGAGAGTCAAATCAGATTGGAGCTTTGAAATCTGTCACCAAAAGGCTCGGTACAGATGCACTTAGCTCATGCATGGGCTTAATCAAACGATGACTGCATCGAGGATGCGAGAGAGAGAGAAAGTATCGAATGTCCTAGCCAGACATGTAACTATAAAATCTCTTTTGTAAAAGACGTCAGTCAATTGAGTTGTCAGTAGTTTCGGCATGGAGCTTAGTCAAACGATGACTGCATTCTTGGAGAGATGTAAGCCAGTACGAGTGCCGCAGCTCAGTCATATGGATTTGCACTCGTCTAGCTGTTTTGAAACTGAATAGGGGGCGTCATTCTTGATGAGAATATAAAGTCGATTCTGAGGCCGGCTTTAATTTCCGGGAAGCAATTCATAAGTACCCAGCTTTTGGCGAGGAACCGAATAGGGTTCATAAAAGTTTGGAGTACAGTCCAACAAGGTATGACCGACTAATCATTTCTTCAGTCATTCTAGGACATTGATTCAATTCAATTCGAATCTTGGTTTGGTTGGGAATTCTACATCGTTCGGAAGATAATGCCATTTCAAACGATTGGCGACTTCTCGTGTGCGTGAAGCTTTGAGATCTGGACCTAATCAGGAATATCCGTTGCCCTGGATCAAAATGTTGCTTGAGTATGTACTCTTGTTGAGTAAGCTCATGCGAATTTTCGCTGGATCCATGCTGGCTGACTTATTGGTACCCAAACTTCCTTGGTCGTTCTCCGGTCATGCATCATGTTCTCATTGTGGTTTCCTGGAACCTGGAAGCCCGTGTTTTGCTATTATTCACTTTTGGCCAAAGGTTTTGTTCTCAAGGATACGAGGTTTATGGATCTCACGAACATGCATTAGGTGTAGCGAGTTCGTCTTATAAATCCTTAAGGGCTGCTAATGTCGACTTTTCTTTGTCAAAAAGGAAAAGCAATGAAGCGAAGTATTGTTTGATTGGGTTCTTGAAAGTACGAGGCGTTTGGATCATGGTGTCTATGCAAATGCTGAGGTTGATGAAAGAGGATTATGAGGCATTGAGGTATTTTGTATGTCAAATTTTGCACATTGAGGCAGAAAAGGCTCACCGATCTGTGACCTGTTAATATATAACAGCAGGCACGAACATATCTGTAGGTCAGTTACGGAAGTGAAGGGGACCAATATGAAAGATTAGAGAGAAAGTTCACGGGCGTACAGTCTCCACGAAAAGTCTTGCTTATGTCCTTTCTTTTAGTGGAAAGTTTGAGCGAGGAGTACAATGTTTTAGGACGAAGGCTTGCCGGTGTAGCAACTGACTTGAAAGATTTGTTCACTGTTGCATCCCACAGAAGTTACTCCACCTTGTTTGTTTCCCCAAAGAATATTTAAAAGTTCAGTCTACTCATATAGGTCAATAATGTCCTCACTTGCTAACTGCCTTAGAATTCGCGTTTCTTCCCTCGTATGTTACGACTCGGTTTCGTCGGTTTCGTTCAGCTAGTATGATTATGCTTACAATACAAGTACTGATCCGGTTCACAATTATCGAAATAACATACGCCTGTGGATATGCTATCCAACAGAATGTTTTCACTTTCAAATTCAAATTCACTGTCAGCTCTTCTTTCGTTGGGATCCTCAACCGCTAGGCTGCAGTTGATAACGCGGGTAGCACCCAACTATCTTCAAAGTACCCTGCTTTGAGCCGGATCATCAAGAACGTCACCTGAAAAATCTTTTCGATCTCCAACTCTTCCATCTCAAGTTCAACAATTAAGAGCGCCTATAAATCCCTAAGAATTTTGATATTATGGTTGTTCTCGACTCCCTACCCGGAATTGAGGTCGCAGTATGTGTTGATGGCGAGCCATTGAAAGAATATGAGAACACCGAAGATGAGTTGATGTTGAATGAACCAGAAGGACTCGGCAAGACGTTTGAAGTCGCTAGACATCAGCGTTCTGTGACTGTTAGAAAGTTCGTCGAATCTACCGCCGGCAAATTCTTTACCATTAAATGCTCCGTCAAGACCCCATATATATATGCAGGCGCTTGTACGCACATTTCATTTTGCTCTTCTATTGATGGCGAGAACCTGTCTTGGGCCCCTCTTTTCAATAAAGAAACATATGAAAAGAGTAGTTCTAACTTGACTCGAGAGGTCGAGGGAAATTTGTATAAGGAAGAAGGAAAACTACTACTACAGAGATTACAGTTCACAGAGACGCACTTGAGTAAGAATCCAACGGCCGCGCGACTTTGGGCAGCGTACTAAGACTATATTAGCTCAGTGGGATAATTCGATCGAAGCAGCGATTCGGCTTGACGGAAAAGGACGTTACGTGGGTGAAATTGAAGTGAGAGTCTTTCGAGAAATGTCCCCATCAAAAGCGAGTCTTGTAAGCACAGCTCCGTTAGTCAGTAAAACCAAGGTTCCAGAGAACTTGTTGAAGGGCCAAGCAAAATCGCATAGCACATTGTAAGTCTTCATCTATTTTTACCACTTGCTGCTATATCACTGAGAGTTATGGACCATCGGCTGATCTTGGGGATAGATTCAGTCAGGGAGAGGCTGAAAAAGAAGGCAAATATGTGAGAATGACATGCTGTGATGGTGGAAGAGAGTATCCTATTGGAATTTTCAATTTTCAATATGGCTCGAAAGGTTGAAGTTTATTCCACGAAAGCACGTCCAGTCATCACTAATCTTTTAACTTATAGGAGATCTTGAAGCATTAGGTGTTATTGGAAGAATGCCGGGGCCGGAGCCAGAGTCATCGTTTGGTTTAGGTCATGATTTTGAGCCTCTACCTATGCCGATGAGTGAAGTCCAAGCTCCTGTGAAGCTATCTCGGGATACGATAAAAGAAGCGGAGGCAGAGGCAAAGCTATCAAACAAAAAGAGTCGTGGCGGATCTACTTTCGAACTACAGGCAATCAGATTTACCCCTCTATCAATCAAGCATGAAGTTCAAGACGCTGAACATGGCCAAAATTCTACCCCGACAGCCCCTTCAGTACCTGCCGGAACTTCTGATGTTACATCCCCAATAACTTCTACATCTTGGCATCTTCTAGATCTAGATCCAACACAGACTGGACAATTGTTTGGACAGTTCCTGCAATACTTACAAACACAAGGAGGCGGGCAGCCCTCACACGCACCTCCGCCACTCCCAGTAGGAACCATTTTTGCAGCTCTTCCCAGTCTACCAACATCCACCAGTAGCAGTGAAATTGCTACTACAGCTACTTTAACGCCACCAGTCAAGCGCGAGAAAGAAGAAAATAGGGACGAGAGTCGCAAAAGAGGTCGCAAATTTAGGGGAAAAGTTACTATTGACCTTACAGAGGACGATTCTGATGACGACGTTATGATTAATCTTGATTCAGATTGAGATTTACAAATGTCTCTGGGATCAACGAGTACCAAACAACATCTGCGGTCATCTAGGTTGATTTTTCTGAGCTGGGTCTTACGCCATCAATCTAATTATTACAATGCTTTCGTTACGTTTTGAAATTATTATGGGCGCTTGGTAAATTTGAGGGTAATCCAAGGAACACATCGTTGAATAACATCGTTAAGCTACTGGGATGTTTTTTTGAAGAAAAGATAAAGCTTGCTGGCGGTTCATAGCAATTCAATACTCCTGGCAACCTAAATATGCATAATACATCAAAGCATCCCACAATTACAAAGTCGTATAATTTCCATACTAAATCTGTGCCCAAGACTTGATGAGTATGTATAATGGCCTCTCCCACTTCTCGGACGAAGAAATCACTACAACTTCTCTCACTCGTAATTCATCTGAATCTTCAACTTAGGACGACGATAATTCACTCATGTCCATTGGAAACTTTCCCAACAACTTCAGTCTACTTCAAACTCCACGTTGATTACCCAGCTCTTGAACGAAGTGTGCGAATACAACTACGATCTCAAGTTTCCTTCTTCAAGCTTATCCTCTCTTCCTAAACCTCTTAGATTTTACCAAGAGTAGCCATCCTTTTCAGCTTCCACACATCATTGCGAGCGCGTCTCATCCGCTTTTAGTCGTCGACGCTTTACTTCGATACTTAAAAACCATTCTTCCTTCTGCATTTGAACTTCCAATTGCCTGATATTTCTGCCCAGAACTCACTCTAAACCCGTTGGCTGCAAGAATTGTTCACAGGATTTGCAATTAGTCTGCATTACTGAGGCCCCTTAACTTCCATTTCACCTCTGAGTAGGAAGGTGGTTTTACGCATACATTAATTTTCTATGCAAATATTTCATCTTTAAATCTTCAATTTTCCAAAGCATCTGCTTGATTACTTCATCGGCTTTACACCTTTTCTACTTCATCTTTATCTCTTCACCATGCCCAGGCGCAGGGAGTTCCTCGACCCGAGTCTTCCAAAGGGAGTTCATGCTCCGCCTGTCCCAGGAATCACAGCACAAATAATCTCGCAGGACAAGAAAGCTTTCCCAAGCTATCCTTCTCCCGATAAAGAGCCTATCGTTGAGGGTGACGAGTTGTCTGAATATTTCAGCGTTCGCACCGTCACGACCTATATTGCCGTTACCAATAACACACCATTTTCAATTCATCTTCGGGTTGATAGGCCGTATCCTGTGAAAATGGACTGCTCGAAATTGCAGTTTGAGATCTTTGTTGATGGGAAGTTTGTGTGGGATGCTTGGTGTCATAAGCCTCGGTATCAGGATAATGGAAATGTGTGGGAGGAAATTATTGGGGGACTGAAACTGGGGAAGGGTCGAAGTTGTGAAATCAAAGACTTCAAATTCATGGGACTCAAGACCAGTAAGTTGACTGAATACTCGAATTGATTATCTGGCCCGCAGCTCTGCACATGAGGTTTGGTACAAGACTCGAGGGAAACGAAACACCTACGACGGATGAATATGAGAAACTAATGATATTATGCAGACGAGGAAAGCATGTCCTATACGGCCCTTCAGCGTGTTAAGGAATCCATGGCCAAGATTGGCAAGATTGAGATCAAGGTATATAGAACGATGTATGGAAAGAAAGGTGGCGATGTCAAGAATAGCAAGAAGGGGTTCTTGACCAAGAACAACAGAGAGGTTCCTGAGAAAGCATTGAAGGGTGAGGCAAAGAGCCATGGTACTGCGTAAGTGTACATTCCTTTTTGTTTTTGGAAATGCGCACAAACTAATAACCAAATAGATTGGACGAAGGGCGAAAGACAATCAGGGGAGATGTGTGGCGAGAGGCCAACAAACATGGTGAACTTCCAATTATCATTTTTCGCTTCCTATATCGCTCAGAAGGTCTGTACTATCCAGTTACCCAAGAAGAATCTATCGCTAATCTGAACGCACTCGATACAGAAGCGCTGAAATCTCTGCATATTATTGAACACACTCCTGGTTCATCTCGCTCCAGTTCACCAGAAAGTGAGCACGAGGCTAGTAGCGGCTTATCAGCTGCTCAAGCAAAGCAAGTCGAGGACTTACTTAAATCTTTCAGAAAGTCGGCGGGCGGAGGCGGTGGATCAAGCAGTCGGAAAGAAATAAAGACGGAAGATAAATTGGGTAATAGAAAGAGAATAAAAAGAGAAGAGGAGCCGGAAAGCAGCGAAATGGCTGCAAGGCGACGTAGAGCTGAAAAAGGCAAGGGGAGAGCAGTTACGATCGATCTGACAGCAGACAATAGCGGCGACGATGAAGAGTCTGTGAGAAGAGCCACAAAGCGACGTAGAGTTGCAAAGGGCAATGGAAAGGTAGTCGCGATCGATTTAACAGCAGATAGCAGCGGTGAGGGCGAGGACAAAGATGAAGAGCCTAATATTTTTAGTGACGAGGAGAAAGATGTTGATGACAAAGACAATAATTTGTTTGTCCAAGATGATGGTCCACGAAGGAAGTGGCCGTTGTGGAGACGTTCTAATTTGTTCAAATACTCTTAAGGGTTTATGGAAGGAAAATGAGACGCGAGGAGAGGTAGATATTGACATATGGGCTAGGAAGGACGGAAGCGCGTATTCTTAAGCCGGCAATTTATTTTAACTTACACCACAGCCCTATGGGGGGAAGAAAGCGATAGCACCTGGGAAGGAAAGACGCGCAAGAAAGTTAGTGGGCGGATGCTGATCTGGAATATGCGTGGATTATTACTGGTATACAATGAACGCTCATCAGTCTTTCGGGGCTGGTAGCTCGGAAATGGAGGGGTAATGAGAATAGCCCAACGTTGACTTTGGGAAGCTCAATGCAAGGAAAAAAAGGTTCTGGACATAAATAACAATTCATTTATTATCTCAAGCTCTAATCAAGCTGCATTTTTTGACAAATCTTGGGCTGAAAACATTCATGGCAGGAAGTAGATGAAGACAATGAAAATCACGTGAGGTACATGTGGCTTACTTTGTTCCCAGTTTAGCGTGGATTTTCCTTGGAAGCGAGAGCGCTCGGCTCTTCTCACCACAAAAATATCTGATGACGTTGAAGCTCCGAGCTACAGGATACATTAACCACTACTGTAACAAATAGCTTGTTGACTTTTCATCAACACTTCCTTCTTCAATTCAATAACACACTCAACTTTCTTCTCCTTCACTACATTAAAAGATTATCTATATTACTGTAAGTTTTCTTCTTTGATCTTATCTCATCATAGGGACAATGAAACGAATGCTTCGAGTCCAATATATTACGAATGCACTACTTAAGATCATTTCAAACATTTACTGATATTTACATTGGAATAGGCCACGAATCAATAACAAAACACTTAATCTGGAGGAAACAATACAGTAAAGATGACACTCTATTACAGTCTTGTATGTTAACACCTTCTGCCATTCGACGATGGCCTTCACGAAACCTCTCAGCCCAATATGCTCATCCGCAGCTCCCGCAAAGTCAACAAAGCATGCTAACGATAACTCATAAAGGTCTTTGTGCTCCTTGTAGCAGAGATGGCACTTTTCATGCTTCTCATCGTTCCTCTGCCTTTCACTATCCGCAGAAAGATGTTTACTTTCATGTTCGTGGTTCCCCATTTATTTTCTTCCGCCTGCAGCTACTAATACCCCACTAGAAGCGAAAGTCGACTGGTAGCAAAATTACAGTACGGGATGAAGATTACGTTTATCTTTATCCTGATTCTGTTCCTTGACAGTGTGAACAGAGTATATCGGGTTCAAGTCGAGTTGGCAGAGGCCAACAAAAGTCAAGCTGGGTATGTTCTCCTCTCCACTTTATCTGGCAGATCAAAAGCTCACGATTAATAGTAACCCTGTCCTTGGTCATGAACGCATGGAAGTACAAGCCCGTAAATTCTATTCTCAACGTAACATGTACCTCTGTGGTTTCACACTTTTCCTCTCCTTGATCCTCAACCGAACATACACCATGATCCTCGAAGTTCTCCGCTTGGAAGAGAAGGTTAACCGTTACGAGGGTACCGGCAAGACCGGCGGAAAGGATTCTGAAAAACTGGACCGTGCCGGAAATGCTGGAGAAATCGGCAAGCTTAAGAACTTGTTGGCCCAAAAGGAGAGAGATATTGAGACCCTCAAGGAACAATCGGCCAGAAACAAGCAATTCTCTGATGACATTCTTGATAAGGCTCAAGCCAGTGAACCATCTGCTGGTAGCAGAAAGGAGAAATAAATTGATTTGTCAACATGCCGGGCGCTTTGGCGAACTACATCGATGAATCAATACTAGAGAAAGGATGAATGGAAATGATGAATATGGCGGTGTCGGAGTGGACAATCTGAGGACGGAGCAGGGCAGGATTGAGGATGAAGCGTGTCTTTTTTTATGGTTTATGGCGGGAAAAGTTGGCTTTCATGAGTTTTAGTGGCGTATCCATGAAAAAGGAAAATACAAATTTGACATGATTTAATATTATTGTTGAATATGATATGTGTTTGGCTCTCGTTTTGGGCCTGATCAGCGAGACAGACTCGAATGCTAAAAACTCCCATTCCAGAATTCCCATTCCAGAATTCCCATTCCAATCGCCCTTCTGGTTCTTCTCCAACTTATTTATGACTCGCTCACTGGAGTCTCTAATACATCTCGCTTCGACAAGGAACACGTCCATACGATAGACATTATGTATGTAGGTGAAGATTTATACAAACAGTCACGAGTCAACCACAAAGCAGTATATCAGAATTTCATAAATTTACACTCGTGTTAATGCTGTTCAGAGAGCTTCTATCCAGCATATTTTTTGTGTATGTATTTCCTAAAACGTGCTGCATTGCCCGCCCGTGTATGATTTTATGTCTCCCCCCTTAACAATGTAATGTGACGCCTGATGGTATGCAAACTTTCGAACTTCTTCACTCCCACGTGATTCTCATGCAACTTGACTATCTATCCTTCTGCTTCAATTTCATAACTGTTTGATTTATGCTTGGGCTGGAATTTGAAACCTTCGTGTGCGGGGCCGAGGTACATTTCACTGGTGATTTAGTTAGTATCGTGGTTGTAAGAGGAGAGAGAGAGAGAGAAATAAAACATACCTAATCTTCATCCAATCCATATAATTATCACTAGCCAACAAGGTTTCCAAATCATTTCGGCCCCTATAAGCCGGTGGACGGTCTTGCAAACTAGGTGGTAAATGTTCCAAAATACCTGCGGGAACATATCGATGAGCAAAACTCAACCATTCCAACAAGAATCGTCTAGTTTGGCCAACACCAATCTCATCCGATCCCCAGGCCTCAAGTCCATAACGGGTGAATTTTTCTACGTATTGTAGACGCTCTGAGGCGGATTTATCGAGGACTTGTCCCTTTTCAATTTCTTCAAAAAGCCATGGCTTGATAAGTGCACCACGTGCTACCATAACGGAGTCAACACCTGCATTTTGGATGTGGTCGAGATAATCAATGTGAGAGTAACAATCACCGTTACCGATGAAGTGTATTTTTCCATCAGGGGCATTTGGTAATGTACGTGCATCTGGCTCCATGACTGTGTCTGTCAAATCATCCTTCTTTTGGTTGTATGACTTGACGAGAGCCGCACATTCTGCGATGTAGCTCCAATCGGCACTTTTGGTATATCTTTGTTGTCTGCTACGACCATGAAGGGTAATAGCAGCGCAACCTGGAGCACCAAGTCTCTCGCGTGATTCAACACCTCCAAATGCTAAACGTTCAATGGTCTTAAATGCATTAGGCTTTCCGGTCATGGTACCCATTCGAATCTTGGCTGTGATAGGAACTTCTCCAGAAACCGCATTCATACCTCGGATCATTTTCTCCAATTTTGATGGTGCATCGAGTAATGCTGAACCGGCTCCTTGTCGATAAACAAGCTCAATAGGACATCCACAATTCAAATCAATTACTCGCAAATGCGGCACGAATCGACTTAGAACTTCAGCAGCTTTGATTGCCATAAACGGTTTGCTAGCCGAAATCTGGGTGCCGAACTTCACGTCTTTAGAGTTATCGTATTTTTGAACAATAGAGCTCCTGTCTGAGTTGACTCGCGGTGGTGTGATTTCGCTCTTGTGTGCCTTCATTAATGCCCACTCTGATTTTTGGCCTTGAAGCAAAGGTATCGACATTGCCATTTCCGAGTAAGTAAGTTGTGCACCAAGCTCCACACAGAGCCGACGAAATGGAAGATTGCCTTGGGTTGTGAGCGGCGCAAGAACAGGTGTTTCGGGGCCAAAGTAAATTCGTCGCTTCTCAGATGGGAGGAACGGAGGCTCCACATATCGCGCTCGATTCTCTTGCTTTTCTTCCTCAGTCTGATCCTTTTTCTGGTCCTTTCTCAGGTTACTTTGTCTGTTGACTTCCTCTGAATTCTGATCCAGCCATGTTGTGTAAAGATCAGATTTCTCCATGGGCGTCTTCTTTTTAGCCAGGTCAATCTTATCTTTAGTGCTGATCACATTCACGACACTCCCCAACGCTTCTTCATACCCGAGCGTTGTATCATCCATGCGATCTGAGTCATCTATGAGGACCAACTCCATTCTACCATCCTCTCTTTGAATCTCTTTCGAATGACTTCCTACAAAACGACACTTCCAGCCAGCCAAACATGTTCCATTGTCTTCCCAAACTGGACATTTTGAATTGAATGTAGTCAAATCCGCTCTCCTTCCTTCAGCCAAATATTTCCTAATATTGTGTTCGCATTTGCAGCTATCTCCAAAACTGCATTCCTTTGGCGAGAATTCTGACGAGTTCGATACGCTATTGCAAAGTTTGATCTTGTCACCCCAGGAACCAAACTGGCGATCCTTATTTTGACCCTTTGCCTTCTTTTTCTTCTTGCCTCCATTATCCCGATCATCACCGTGAGTGTTTCCCTCTGCGGCATCGTCGTTTTCTGCAGGATTGCGACCATCAGTGGCCGATCGACTTCCGGCTGGCTGAATCAAATACCTAGGAACAATTTAGCAAGGGCCGAATTAGAAGCGCAATTGAGTTTTTGGGCTCTAAAATATGGACGAATATTTATGATTATTGACTTACTCGGCCTTGACAGGAGCAATGCCTCTGATTCTATCACGAGAATCTGTTGCCGTAGGTTTGTGGTTTTGCTCTTCAATTCTGACTCTTTTTGCAGATGGCTCTCCATTGTCCACAGAATCCCCGTTTGTTCCATTTCTCTCTATCTTCTCTGCCTTTGTGACTGCTGAATCTTCTGGAAGAATCGGTTGCGGTGGGTGTGCTTCCTCCAATTGTTCGCCATCCAATGGTCGTTTCAAGGACTGAGAAGGGTCCACTGGATTGGGGATTTCGTCGGCCATAGTAATTTTCAATTATCGAGAACCCGTTTGAACTATTGGTAGATTCTTTCGATTAATCCCTCGAATTGATATTGGTGTGGGATAGAATTGGGATGTTGATGTCGAAAATGTTCCCGATTCGCCTTGTCAGAGAATGGCAATTGAGTAAAAAATTGAGGGGAGCTTTATCTTAGCGTCTTTTCGAGATCTACAAATACTCTACCTCTGTCGGTATTGGATGGATGTGAAAGTATTGCAGCCACAGATGTGTGGCTTAATGTCTAGACTCTCCAGCTCCCTAGACCGTATTCACAAGTGGCTGAAGCGTTCATGGCTCGCTAGTCGATATTGGGCTTATTATTCTGAAACATAAGTCTGTTTCTGGATCCAGTCGTTGTCCCCGTTTCCTTCCCTCCCCACAGTTCACTCAGTCCTTCATATCAATTCGATTATGTGATTGACTTGAGAAAGTGTTATACCCTTTCATTATTATATATCATTCATTGTCTTCTGCTGGGTAGAAGAGGAAGAGACAATCTCTATCTTCCTATCCAGATCAGATAGATGGCTCTTCAATCGTGGCTATCCATGGATAGATAACTAACCACCTCTTGCCGATATCTGTATGTCAATCATTTGGTTCCATTCTGATATGCATAGACATACAATAAATCTCCACTGCCAGTGAAGGACAGCTAATGAATCAGGGGAGAAGAACTCCATCTTTCCTGCGACATTCGAGACGTTTACTGCATATTAAACTTACTGCACTTAAATCCAACCGCAAAAATTCATCAGCCACGACTGAATCCCTTCAAATCTTAATTTTACTTCCCACACGTCTCATTTGCAAAACAATGAAAACCTCATTTTGTTGTTCATTTAAAAGAAAGCGCATTTATAATGGCTGATTCTCCCAATGACAAGACTCGTCCCTCTTTGAAAACGAAACTCGTACGTTCACAGAAAATCATCCAATTATCTCCGACGGAGACAAGACCTCAAGATATTCCTGAGGATTCCGAACCACCACCGCCATCTCGAGACAATGCGCCTCCTCCTCCTCGCAGTCATACCCCGGGACATCTATCAACTAAGAGCCAAGACAGGCGGAAGCAGAAATCTGATCTAGCTTTGCGCCAGAGATCACAGTCATTATCGCAAAAGGAATCCTCAACTTCATCTATCAAAACGACGACCGAGAAACCACCCTCGCTACATCATGTTAGCAGTACACCAATTCCCTCGGAGAAACTTTTGTCACCATCCGATGATGGTAACCCAGTACCGCAGCTTCCCAAAGATGATACGCATAAACCCATTAATCTTCGTTCCACATCTGCCATAACACCGAAAGTACCTTCCTCCGCAACTTCGTCATCCCCTGTACCGCCCGCACAGCGTCCGCCCCGTGGGCTTTCAATTCCGTATCCTTCATTGCCAGATCCCAAACTGGCACCCAATGTTCTTCCTGCGCCAGCATCAGGAATGTACTGGTCTCGCGCCCCTGTCTCGGGTTCGTCCCATACGTCTTTGCGGGCACACACAACCACACTTATTGGTTCCAACATCTACGTTTTTGGCGGATGTGATGCACGTTCATGTTTCAATGAATTATATGTCTTAGATGCCGATGCTTTTTACTGGTCTACACCCTTTGTTTGCGGAGATATACCTGCTCCTTTACGAGCAATGACGTGTACAGCCGTGGGAAAGAAGCTGATAGTGTTTGGTGGTGGGGATGGACCTGCATACTACAATGATATATATGTACTCGACACATTAAACTTTCGATGGTCAAAACCGCGAATATCTGGGGAGAAGATACCAAGCAAACGAAGAGCTCACACAGCATGCTTATATAAGAATGGAATATATGTTTTTGGTGGTGGAGATGGGGTGCGGGCATTGAACGACGTGTGGAGGCTAGACGTTGCGGATACGAACAAAATGTCTTGGAAACTCGTTTCTGCTCCGACGTCATCATCTGCCGATGATAGAACTAAGCCAAAAGCTCGCGGGTATCATACGGCCAATATTGTTGGATCTAAGCTTATTATATTTGGTGGATCAGATGGTGGGGAATGTTTCCGAGATGTATGGGTATTCGATATTGAGACGTCGACTTTCTCTCCGGTCAATATTTCGCTTTCATATCCGCGATTGAGCCATACTGCTACTATTGTAGGAAGCTATCTGTTTGTAATAGGTGGACACGATGGTGTTGAATACTCAAATGAAGTGCTGCTCCTAAATCTTGTCACCATGGCTTGGGATAAACGGAAAGTCTACGGAGAGCCTATTAAAGCTCGCGGCTACCATGGAACAGTGCTTCACGATAGCAGACTCATGGTAATAGGAGGCTTTGACGGGGGAGATGTGTTCGGAGATGTATGGTTGTTAGAGTTGGCGGTGCATGCATATTATAGTCAAATTAGTCATTTTAGCATCGATGTTTAGCGATAGAGTTGGAAAGGGGGAGCGGAAAGGAAAAGGTGTTTGTGGTTTGTCTTTATCTTGCGAGCGTACGAACGATGTCATGAAATCCGTATGATTAATATAATACCATGGTTATCGATTATTGCTTTCTCTCCTTCTAGTATGCCAAGTGGTAGTCATCAATGCTTCAATCGTTTCTAACGTGGAAAATTTACTCAAATTTTGATTCCTTAGCCTCAAAATAATGTTCGCGCAATATATTTGGAGTTACAAATATTTTAATGCGTTTGAAGCCTTCTAGGCAATTTTAAATGGTGATGTTTTGACGGACAAGAAAGCATGCAGGTCGCCATATTCCGGTCAAATCAAAAGCTTCAAACGTCCTTCCAGAGCTGTAGATAATCTAAATAGTGATATATTCAAGGGGGCGCGATGCAGATCGCCAGGTACCTGCCAAATCAAAGGCTTCAGACGTAGACATTGTCCGAATCAATTACCTTCATCATCCTTTTGCATATTTAATTATGCACGTCTGTTCCGCAAACCCTTGAGAAGGTACGCAGCTCGCCAGTTTTCCTTGGACCTTAAAGAGAGTAGTCTGGCAAGGCCTCATTAAAATCAAACACGAGTTTAAATTTGCTTCCTGCCTCTTTCCATCGATTGTATAAATACCACTCCCAGCCTCTCTTCGTGATATTACCAAAGAGTCCTGAGCTATTGAGGATGGCTATCCTGAAATCTGTTCCTGGCATTGAAGTCAGTATCTGTTTTGATAATGAGCCGCTGATCGAATACATCGATCGTAGCGCGAAGGCCGATCGGAGTACTATCTTGAAATATGTCGAGGTGGTGCCAGATAAGGAATTCACGATCAGAATTACTACTGATAAGAGCTATAAATGGACTAGTCCGTATGTTGTTCTGGACATTATAGTTGATGGTGTAGAAATCAGAACCCTTCCTTACAGCCGCGAGGAGTTCGAACAAGAGTGCCAAGCGTCTTCTTCACACGTTCACAACTGTATTGGGTCTTACGGGATCGAAAATGAACAGGAGGTAGTTGGCCCTTTCAAATTCTCCAAGTTATCTGTGTGTAAGTAGTTCTTCCAATGCCTTCCATTGATATATCTCCCGCTGAAAACATCAAAAGCCCACGTCGAGGAATTGAGAGACGAAATTGAGAATGATGTGTCGCGCTTCAAGAAGACGGGCGAGGTGAAAGTCGGCCTTTATCGGGCAAAGTCTGTCAAAAAGCTATCTGCAACCCAAGCGCGCAAGCATTGCCCAACCTTTTGGAAGCAGCCCGAGTTGAACGATGACTTGATGAAAGATGTTCATTGGGACGCAATCAGTAGACGTTTGGAAAGCCAGTCCCACATTGCAAAGTTAGTATACGCATGAACAACGCTCTAAATTTCATTGCTAAACATTCCTCAGCTTGGGACCTGCCAAACCCGCCGGTGAAGATCCATGTATTAGGACGGTGTACGACGCGAAATATATGGATTTCGATCGATCTAGGTCTGTGAAGCCCCAGGGAGTCTTCAAGTTGAGGTATCGATCTGAAGGTACAATCTTACTATATGATTCTTACACAAACGTTTCACAGCTAATTGGTTGAATAATATCTCGTAGAATCACTCAAGTCCCTTCTGATCATCCGCTGGGATGACGCAGAAATCAAGGGGGAGCCTATGATCAAGATCGAAAGCGGCGACGAAGACGTGGTCGAAAAAGGGGCCGAAGATGTGACTGAATCTGTTGTCAAGCGAGAGCGCGATGAAGATCTGGTCGAGTCATCCATGCCTGCTATCAAAAGGGCTCGATCGAGAAGGAATAAAACATAGTCAATAAATAGCGATCAGTTGTATCAAGGTGTGAAAATGGTGGAATATGAAAGCTTAGCGGTGACCCTGCCTCGTTTTCTGTTTCAGAAAAAGATTCCCTTTGAGGAAGGGCTATACATGGGTACTAGCACAATATATTGCTAAGGCAGTATTCATCTCATCTGAATTCAAATCTTCCATCTGTCAATAACAACCAGTCTAGACTCAAGTTCCTGACCCTAATGTTGGAGAGGCTCACTTCGTCAATTAACATAAGTTGATGCTTGTGGTCCTACTTCAGCTCCCGCATCTACTCCAACCTTAGCTTCTACTCCACTCACCACACTAAAACTCTTATTTGCTAGCCTGAGCGTCGCACTAAAGATACCTATCATTTCGTGCAACCACTGCGTCAATTCATTGGTAATGCTTAGAGAGCAGACCAAGAAGAAAAGTAAGAAGCGACAAACACATTCCGAACATCGATATATTTCATTCATCTAATGAATAATTCCAAACTGTCGAATACCTCGTTCAAAGAACCAAAGAACCACAGAGACCCTCCAATTTACTAAATAACCATTCCCTTATAGATCAACTCCTTCCTCAACACTCTGGAAGAGATCCACCTACGATCCACATTCCCACCTACGCCACCGCATTTCACATCGATACTATTATTATTCAACATTCCGCTAGCGCAATAGAATATTTATATCTGCATTACAAACCCCAAAGAATCGAACGAGATATCAAGTAAACGAGAACATGAATGTTATCTCAATCTACAAGTTGATATGGATGAGTATTGATTAAAGTAAACATAGAGATTGACCTACACACAATGCACCTCAAAACATCAAATTACAAGTCAAGACTTCATCAATATCGAAACATCGCATTCTTAGTTTCACTGTGAGAGTTTCTGAGTATCTCGGTGTGCGAATAAGCTTTAGATACCTAGGTATGCTTGTAGACTTATTCAGGGGTAATGGCCGTGCATAGTGAAATGCCTCGTTTGTTATTTCTTCTTGACCAACCGAGCCAACGAATATTAGTATTGTCACTGGATATTTGAATCACTAAGAATGTACATACCTATGAATACGTCACTTTTAATCACAAGACATCAAGATTGATGCTTTATTTTGAATCATAGAAGAAAATATCAATTAACTCCCTTTAGATCCAGATAGTAATCTTACTGCGAGAGTCTCATGGGACACTCGCATGAATAAGATTGAGTAAATGGATACTTTCTATCTACTATCACAGATAATGATACCTGGTAAGCTCCACCGCCGTAGTTCTTCATTGAATCCCACCACAAAAAGAATATCTTAACCCAACCATTGAAAAGTCTTCGAACTCCTCGCCGAAAGACAAAATGCATGAGTTCCAACTCAGCCCCTAAATATGTTATGAAATGATACTCTTCCAAGCACCATGTTATCCAACCATACTATCCAATTATGCCCTGAATAAATTCCTCTTGTTGTAATAATATCCTCAATTCTATCCATGATACCCAAACCCTAGCAAGATATCTATATGCTCTTCTTCAGCACCCCCCCAATCGTAATAATGTTATGACACAACCAATGTAATGGATGGCAAATGGCAGTATGACCAGTGCCAATCAAATCCGATTCCACCAAGAGTTTCTAGTGGAATGAAATCGTAGACGCACTGTGAATGAAAATGAATAGGCGAACTTGGTAACTCCGATGAATGAAATAGAGTTCTGATGCTTCGAAACATATTGATCTGGCTCTCACATCTGATCAATCAAATAAAAATGGTCCGCTTGAATAACCTCATCCGACATCTCGTGAAAACTCGTGCTCAGATCGTAGTATATGTCATCAAAATGGTCCGAAAGGCCTGGAAAATCTTCTTCGCTGAGAAAATCATCCTCTGTATCATTGGATTTTCTGGTCGCAGTGCCCTCTTCTTGATGAAGAAATGTCTCAACTGACTCGTGGAAAATTCCTTGCGACTTCAAATTCGGCATTTCATAGGGCGAGTAACTGAATTTGGTGCTTGTTGGATCCTCCGCATCGACGGTCGTGTTCGTAGAGATAGGAGATAGCCCAGCTTCATCTGAGCTGTGTGTAGCTGAGCTAACACCAGAAACTACAATAGCACTTGAAGTGGTATCGAGAGCAATATCAGAGAAATCAATCGGACTGCCACTTGAAGTAGCAGTAAAGAGCTCTTGAGTGTTGTCTTGTTGTTGTTCAGACAATTCCCGATCATGTCTTGCATTTTGCTCATTGGCCTCTCGTCGCCTAGAGCAATCTTTATCCTCGCTATTTTGTTTTTTCTTGTATCCCTCGCAGCTTCCATCAAAAGTGATATCAGATATCTCGGCCTCATCAACACTTCTTTTCTTCCCCTTTTCTGCGCTGACAGATGGTTGTGGTTCTTGGGACATGATTCTAACTTGATGGGCAAGGTCTCCTTGTGTTTCAATGTCGTCTGACTTATATTGGTTGTCAAGAGGTTGAATGAAACCATTACTTGAATCACTAGTATCACTAGGACTGCTGAATACGGATTGTGCAAGACCAAGAGATGAAATATTGGCGAAGTCAGGATCATTCGTTGTGGCTTGTGGGAGACCATGATGTCTTTGAGGCATAACTTCCTTACCATCCAAATCGATGTTTAACGGTGGGAAGCGATATTCAATACCGTATTGTTGTTGTGGAGGGTACTGATTTGTATACGGCAATCCATTTTGTGAAACCGTTTCCCCATAAGATTGTCGAATCTGTGGTACCATGTATGCCTCGAACTGACCATAAGAAGGCGTATCATATGGATAAGAAGAGCTTCCAACGTCAGTAGGGCCTGTTGGCATTGGCATTCCATTCATACCCAGGCCTGGTAAGGCTTGTGTATATTCCCCGTAATTTTTTGCGTATGGCGAATCCATAGGCGTTACCTGACCGTAAGACTGAATTTGGTGTGTGTTTGGGCCCATTTGATTGCCATAAAATTGATACATAGTTCCCGATGGTGCGTGCTGCGAATACTCTGGAATGTCACCGCCATTATGCATGTAAGCATTCGTTCCCTGACTGTTGCCCATTGTTTGCCTCATCAAAGATGAAACTTCGACAGCAGGATACCACAATGGATTCGATCTAGTCGTTGCGGAGTGTACCTGTATAGGTTGTTGTTGGCGACTTCCATTGCCCAGTGATCCTCCTTGATGTTGTTGTCGTTGGTTGGTAGTAGCTAGCGGAACACTGTGTCAAAGTTAGTTGCCTTGTTAGCTTTATTTAGTAAGAGAGCACATACGTATTTTCATGCCCTCGTCCATATGATTTAGCAAATGGCTCATTTGCACTCCTACTCATGGTGTGAGATCTGTTGGGATTAAATTGACCAGCTTCACTCCTGTTCCAATTTCCGGTTCTTCTAGGTTGTGACTGAGTGAGAGGACTCCCCATTGGCATTGGTGACATCGTATTCGAACTAGTGTTACTAAAGCTCCCAGGGGAACTTCGTCTTTCGGCAGCCATAGTAGTGCCACCCCGTGGATTCTCCAGCGTGATCCCGTTTGTGCTATCTTGAGCTTGGGAAACTGAACTGCGGAGTCGCTCAATGGTTTCTAGAACTTCTGGAGAAGGTTGTGCCCTAAGAAATTAGAGGATGGTACAAGTGAAAGTGAATTGATAGGGACCTACTCCGGTTTCTGAGTACGAGCATATCTAACGCTCGCTGCATTTGGTGTATGACGCAAGTCCTTAACATTCTTCTTGCAGAGAAGTCCAATTGCTTCATCCGTGAAGAACCTGCCTGGTTTACTCTTTTGGGCGGAACAGGGTGAGGGAATTTTGGATGCCAGGAGAACAAACCAAATCCCATCATCAGTCCATGTTTTCACACCTACCATCTTGCCAATTGAGAACCGATAATGCTTAAATTCAGAGATGAAGTTTCAAATCGTGAGATATAGAGGTGTCCGCTTCAACCTTGCTGAACGATAAAAGGCTGCTCAAGGTAAGTTAGCGCATATACTGGACAAATGTAAACAGGCAACAAATATTTCAATATCTTTTTTTTTTCCTTCTGGGGTATGACATCTCTAGTCGACTCACCACTGCTTTGATCTATTTTGTAGGATCAGATTATGAGTATCTGTTTATTGTCGTTGCTGCTCACGATCTTGTGAATCCTCTCGAGGTAGAAAAGAGTAATGTCGATAATATTATGAGTTGACGGGAGCTCAGTGAAAGCCAGGCCTGTATGCAATGTATCTTCTCGTCCACCTCTGGATCCTCCAGATGACGCTTCAAGTCAGGAGTCTTGTATCGAGGAATTTTGTGGCTTGGTACTGGGTCCTTGCCGAAAATATTTTGAAGAGTGCTTGACAAAGTGAATTTGGTCTCAAGTTTCCGAAAATAATGTTAGGGATCGAAGAGGCGTATTGTATGTGATAATTTTGTTTGTAAGGATGAAAGAGACAACTTTCGAGATTTCGATTTGGAGGAGTTTAAATATGAGAAGATTTATAAAAGAAGTGGTATTCGCGGGACATTCACAGCAACAGCTGTAACCGAAAACCAGTTTGCGTGGATTATTCAAATATTGAATGCTAAAAAACTGAGAAAACATAAGTGATGATTCCAATATCGTTGAATGTAATAGTGATTGTAAAATTTTGAATTTAATGATTTCCGGAGTCTGCGAAACCGAAGTCGGGGGTGTAAATAAATTTGGGATGTCGATCAGGGCGATAGTGATCGTGGCTTCCTCCTATATCTTTCCCGCAAAGCTTAGAAGCTTCTCGAGAGGTCAGATGAAAGTTGTAGTTGTGTGAATCCAGGAAAGAGGAGAAGGTGTGATAGGAGACCCCAGGTCGGAAATATCAGATTTCTTGATGCGTTGATATGGGGTTCAATGTAGAATTATTGGTTGGGGTGAGCGTGTCAAAATAATAGATGATGATATCTCAAAAAATTGCAAGAAATGTATGATATCAGAGATCAAAGTAGGATACTCGCCGTCTAATAACGGGAGTCGATATAGAAGGTATTTCGTAAGAGTTCTCAAGCCACAAGAAGTAGACCTTCCCAGCTTGTGGGAATATACCCAAGAGATAGAAAGGAAGTTGCGATTTAGAGAGTTGATGGATAAGAAGATGGAGAGTAAAGGAAGAGTCTTCCGTGGAATTTCTCTTATGCTTAAATATAATAGAAGTGAATTATCCTACAGAAACTGAAACTAGTAGATGATCGAAAATTTCTATTCACCTGTACCAAGTTCGGATGAATTCTTATTTTGAGCTTTTCAAGCTCAGAGGTGATAGATAGATGATACTGGTAAAAATGAAGGCTTCGATAGTGGTTAAAATGGGTACATTGGCAGCTTCATGATCCGTGAGCGTTGAACTAAACTTATGCTCTTTCTGTATGACGCCGTAAAATCTTACTCTCATTTTTGAACTGGCAATACAAATACAATTCCATACTCCAATATATATCAAGCAAAGGACAAGAACAGATGCCCTGAATGGTTCCATAATAGTATAGTTCGTGAAATTATGGGGCTATATATCAGTGGATAGGGATAGAGAAAGTTGCTAAGAATGGGAATAAAAACCATCTATGAATGAAGAACGCATATCTGAATATCAAGAACAAGAGTTTGAGGGAAAGGGAGAGCGGGATGGAGCAAATTTTGAATCAATTTACAAAGCACATTGATTGTGCATGATTTTACCATCATCATCCCAATCATATAACTTTTGCTTTGCTACTTTAAGATTCACAATTCATCTCATTTACAAAGAAGTCGAGGAAATTAACAGTTCGATCGACATAAAATCATAGACACATAGAAGTAGATACCTCTACATCGTGCTTCCAGACCCCCCACCAGCAATGCACGCCGCCATCGTCATCGTCGTCCCGTTCTGAATCCTCCCAATCATCGAAGCAGCGTTCTTTACCACTAGCCACTAATTGGTATCCTTGAATGGACATCAGTTCCTCAAATTTATTCTTCATCGCCTTTGTTGCATTGTCTCTTAGCGGCACTGATACCAACACACGACTGTCTTCACTATTCTTGAGGAACTTCGGGATAACTCCAGCAAGAAGAGGAGGGTGGTGAGAATCATAAAAGGGATCGGCAACAAGAATTATCTATGAATGTAATTAGATATTTGAATCACAGAAAGGGAAAATATGCAAAGAAACTTGTCATACCTCAAACTTATCATTTGGGGTTTGGCTAAACACCACAGAGTGTTCTGCATCACTCCAATCCAGGATCTCTGCACTGGCTTTATCTTCAGAAGTATGGCCGAAGCCATTTTTCTTGAGGTTAACATCCAGGTTTGGAACAATGTCAGGGAGATCAGTCAAGACGGTGGTCTTGTTCCATAGCATAGTTGCTGTCAACCCAAGAAGTCCAGTACCGGCCCCAAGCTCTAGGATTTTCACTTCGTTGCACACATCCTGTTTCGAGAAGTCTCCCTGATGCATCACATCCCTTTCCATGCTCGACTCACTGGCCATCATAGTGTCTCCTATTATCACGGCATTGCCATTCATTCTCGTGGTGTCGTTCAATTTCTCGTCGCACACCATGGTCAACTGAATCTCAACTGTTGACCCACTCTCTACAGTTTGACCATTTTGTGACGTTGTAACCTCTTGCCCAGTCAGATCACTGTTGGAAAGGGCACCGCTAAAATAGAAGTTTCCTAGCTCCTCCAGCTTCTTGGCCATTACGAAGGAAGTACCCCATGTCTTGAGACCCAAACTATCACCAGTGAGTGGAGGCTCACACAGTTCAATGGCGAGGTCTTCTGAATCTCCAGATGTTGGAATGATCCAAGTGCGGATCATCTCTGGCATTGCTGCATTCAGTCAGATGATATCTTGATTGTAGTATGATTCCTCACTTCAAGTGTTCAAGAAATTAGATGTCTTACCTGAGCGTCCACAACGTTCCGCCAGTCTCTTGCTAGCAAGCTCATGGATAGTTTCACATTGTTGTTCCCATTCTTCTTCAGATACTCCTATGGACAACCAATCAAGTTCGCTTCCAATGATTTTGGTAAGATAACGAGATATGCCTTGAGCATCTTCAGATTCTTGGGACCTCCTAGATTTTGAATTCCAAGAAGGCGGTGGAAGTTTTAGTAGTCCTAACACTTGCAAAAGTTCCAAGTAAGATGGGCGTTTGTAAAGTTGTGGGAAATCCAAAGCTATTGCAGTGGTATCGTGTTAGCAACAATCTAAAACATGAAACATTTGAAGATGGTCAAACGACAAACTGACAGTGAATAGGCTTATTGTCGTTGGTGGCCAGGCCATCTAGTGACTCATTAGAGGGCATGTTGAGTGTAGCAAGTGACCACGATAGTCAAAATTACCGACACACAACTTGCTGGATATAGGTCCGCTTGCAGAAATGAGAGTTTAGGAGAGAACGATTAATATAACCTTGTTATATTTTTAGATCAGCTTCAAGGGGTATAGTAGTGATTGTGCCTTTTCGAGGTAAGAGAACGCAATAACTTAAGTTCTAATCACCCTCACAGATGGAGTTCTCTCTTGTCGCCGTCAAAAAGCTCTGCTTATCTCAGAGCCCCTTTTATACGCGACGAAAAGGTTAGAGAACAGCGATTTTCAAGAGTTTCTGGCAAGCCAAAACCACAAACCAAAAAGTGGAGAACTTGTTGCTTTTATCAAATTCCGAATGAAAGTGAGCTGTATGTAAGTACTGCTGCACTTTTGTACAGTCTCACAAGATCAGACCCGCATCTTGATCAATGCTTTAATGATTAGATGAGATTTGTATGAGAAGAAAGATCTTGAATAGAATTCCCTAGCAACAATTGAAAGAGTGAATGAGAGAGGAAAAGAACGGAAGGAAGAAAAGATTTGCTGAAATGCTTCAGTTTTCTGACAAAGTGTGGGTCGTTTAATCCCTTTTCAGTTAAACCTTACTGTTCCCCTAGTATCTACTCCGTACTTTCAGATAATATCTGACCGAGAATCCAGATCTTTCAATTGGCCTGTGGTTCACCGAAATCTCTGGTGCAGCAAAGTTTCTCTCCACGTAACAGATAAGAATTGGGCCATCTCAATACTCAATACCAAAAATCAAAAGAACATCAGAAATTTAACCATAAATAATGAAGATGCAAATTATGGCATTCAAATGAAGCTTATGGAAGACAAGATTTCATTCCAGAATTTGGGGAAACAGCGTGTTTCGCTAATCAAAGCCTCTGAAACATGCGAATCCCTACAGAACACTAACGAGCTTGAGGAAAGTCCCTTGTCTCTTGGAAATCAGGTTCGCAGGCTCGTCTACCTGTCAATAATGGAAGCACCTGGGAATGATACTCACATAGTTCACTAAGGCTGTCCAAAGTAATATTAAATTATAATCACAAAAACAGATGAAGATGCGTATAAGTAGTAGTAAGCACAGCAATAGAGACTTGCCCAGGTGATGAAACAATGATATTGAGGTTCAACGATGACTAATCACACACGGACAGATTGAGCCAGTCACGAGACATGTGGCGGAGATTGCCCAATTGGTTCAATTGACTTATTAACGTCACCTGGGCACTTGAATGATATTCCATCTTTAGGACGAAATCTAGACCACAGAGAAAGACTTCACATCGAGAGATATCAATTGGTTCTCCCTAGCGATACTCACTAGAACGCATCATGATTGAAGGAATATTCTTTGCTCGTTTCCTTCCCCAGAAAGGTACATGCCTACATGTATCTACCTTCAATACATACATTTATTAACATCTTTACTAGGTACCAAAGTCGTTCATCAAAGTCCTCCAGGATGTATAGTCCCAGAACCTGATGTCGATAAACCACGTCTGTTCGACTTTGAAAAGCTGGCCGAATATATCATTCCCCGCCAAGCATTTTGCAATCGACATGTTACAGTATGTGATCCCGAGAACAAACATCGCATTTTAGGCCATCCGGTTTGTATAAAGAATGAAAAGTACGAACGCAATGAATTCATGTTCAATTTTTGCATTGTGACGAGAGTCGAGGTGGATAAGATTCCTTATGAAGCTGTGGTTAAACGGTTGGCATCAACATTTACGGAAATGGAAATTCAGAATGAGTATCTGAGTCAGGAGGGTACATTTTCATGCCAAGATCGAAGGTCGATAGCTGCGTTGTTGGAGATTATTAAGGAGGATTTGAATAATTACAATGAGTGCATGATTCCTGTCGGTATGCATTCTGCTAGCCACGTATGTTTTCGAGGCCTGTGAACTAACAATGCATGTAGACGATGCAAACACTATTAACATGAAGCTTTTCCCAATCCACAGACATCCACCCCCTATAAAAGCATGGCACGTCCCGATCTCGAAGATCAAATTTGCCGAGATCGTCGACGATACCTGGGATCTCACCATGAGAAAAGTTATCAAGCACATTGACGGCATCAAAGACGTCCGAAGAATCGCTCACGACGCAAATATTGCTATGGATCTTACCAAAATAGCCTTACAGCATCTTCTCTACTATGATTCCATCCTTATGCTCGATATGTTTCTTTTCAGCAACATTTATGCGCCTACATCTGAAATGAATGATTTTATAGCCGATAAAGATGGTATGCAAGATGAATGCGCAAATTACGTCTACATCAATGGTCCTCGCCTCACAAATTTTCTTCTCTGTCGACTCTTTACCACTCTTTGTACCTCAAGAACGCTCAAGGAATGGCTCAAACTACACATGGATCAAGGCCTCAACGTTCTCAATTATATCGATGTTCGTCGGTTCATCCAATTCGGTATCATAAAAGGTCTCATTTATCGCGTGCATAGGTATGCAGTGTCTTCCATGTATTTATCATCGATTGCCTCTAGACAAGCAATGCATATGGATAGAAGAGATGACGCGCTGTGGAAGTATACGGATGGTTGCCATTGTTTTGACCAAATAACCACAGTACTAAACATTGGAGAGGCAAAAATCATGGAACGACTGCGCAAATTTCCAAAGGGGGATGTAGAGGTTATATATCGATGAGACCGAGTCGACATCCCGATTCTCTCATACTCAGTACACTAAAAGCCAAACATCTCACGCGTGACCTGGTGGCCACAACATCTACTCAAGGCTCTAAGATATTTCCCACGAAAGTAGCCATCCACCCGTCGATGCACCAATCTGCCACAAGAAACGCGCAAATTCCTCCCACAAACCAAGATGTCCAAATTCACTCAAATGATCTAGCAGAATTCAGAGGATGTTTTCCGCATAACCTTAGTGTATCACGCTTTATTATTGTTGAATAATCCATGATATACAAGGAACGAAAGCATCATAATGAAGCATCACCGCCACAAACAACTAGTGTATGAGATTCAACTGCGCTGAATCGATATCATCTCTTTTCTTATAATTGTGCTCGACAACACGGGATAAGTTATGCCTCAATTCTATACAGCAAGCCTAAGAACTTTCTTCAATACAGAATCAGAAGACCTATCTACAATCATCTAATGATGTTTCGGTACGGGGTGAAGATTGATTAGAATAACACTCCACACTGGGAGTTGAATAGAAAAAGGGGGCCCCCTCCGAGGACAGCTAAATGAGATGGAGGATACAGCTCTTCCACAGGAACCACGCAGGGGGCACACACCCAAGATTGAACGACATCAAATATGTAAATACCTCGCAACTACTATTTCTCTACTACACTCACTCCCAAATCATGTCAGCACCCAGAACTATCACATGATAATAATAGTAATAATATCCTATTCTAATCAATCTCGCCCTATAACTACAACATATAACCCTCTCAACAATGTATCAATCATTATCTACATCTACCTACATACCCAGCGATATCAAACCCACCACCAAAATATCAACACAAAAAATCACCTCAGAAGGAGCGAGCCCAATTTCTTTTCATCACCGTATACAAAATGAATACACATATATACCTTGTACGAAATTCAGTAGCAAATCTAATTTTCCATACCAACCAAAACATAGAAATAAATAAATAGTCTAGCCCAGTCCAGACTTCAGCATGGTCCAGCACAGTACAGTCATATACATACATACAACAATAGCCGCGCGCCGATAACTTCCATATATCAGTGCCTACCCAGCATACCCATCCATCCATCCATCAATTCTACAAGCAAGCAAGCAAGCAAGCAAGCAAGGAAGGAAGCGCCGATAACCATTGGCTTCGCGCAACAATCCTATCTTCAACCCCACTAGTTCCCATGTCTTTTCTATTTCAAGCCATAACGAAAAATAGATCCGAGCTACTCGTTCCTCATTGGTTCATCATGTAACGTGATGTGATTGATATCTCGCCTATCTGTGAACGTCGCATGCATTGCATTGTTTCTATAATTAGGTGACTACCGGGTTTTATCATCGGAGGTACTGGAAAGTTTTGTTTTTGAGGCTTTATTGTGATTTATGATATCTGTGATTGAGAGTAGCGGGAAATAGCAATGCACTTTATATGAACGCGTGGAGATTGAAGTAAGAAACTCATGGGAATGGATTCTACGAAATCTAATCAATAAATAGTGTAAATTTTGAAGTACGTAGAAGTATGTTAGAATCCACAATCATATATAATATCCACAGGGCGAAGAGAAAACATTTCCTTCTCGCGCCGCAACGCCTTACAGCAAGGGTATCAAAAAAACAAAAAACGCAAAATATAAAACAGCCTCCCAAACCCCCTTGCGTCGTTGATTTCGTTCTCGTTCTGGTTCTCGCTTTCGTACAAGTTATGCCATTATACCCATTGAAAGATGGAGGCATAAGTAATGGGACGTTAGAGCGATTTTTAGCTGCATCCAATGTTCCAGTGCAAACCGTCCTAAAATGTTCCGGAAAAATCGGCATCGACAGAGATAGTATGATCCGTATGAAAGGATTCACCCAATTGAGGCATTGTCGTCTTCTTTGAAATCACATTCAGAAGAATTGTGTTGCTTGGCTCCCTTGAGACAGTCTTGTAGATTTGGAAACCAGAAATTTAGCATATACGCAAGAGCCATCATGAAGCTCGCAGCAAAGTGGCAGAATCCCATCGCGGCCCAATTGATGGTATATAACGAGCGGAGATAGACCCATTGATGTTCCTGAGATAATCATACTTTTCATACCGAAATGCTGACGCTCTTTCGTGGATCAACTTCATCAACACGGAAGCCAAACACCATCCTGAATAAATCTTTCAAAAATGTGTATTGCCCAGTCCTCATCATCCAAGTAACGCTCTTAGCGAGATCAGTAGCGGAGACTTTCTTTCCTGGCGGAGGTAATGAGCTTGGATTCCTGAAGGTAGGGTCGCTCAGTACTAGGTTTCGATATGATGAGAGTAGATTCGTTTGCGCTGGCGATGGACCAAAGGAACCAGTCGGCAGTGCCTTGACAAAATTTTGAAGCGTCAAGGGTGAACCTTTGGATGTAATAGCAGTTCTTGAATATCCCACATTCATTGAAGCTTTCAAGATAAGCATCTTGAGTCGTGTCAAATTTAGATCCTCCGGCTGATTTCCGTTGGTTACCGTGCTAGCACCACTTTCTTGAGAATATCCTGAAAGTGAAGATGCGGCAGATGACCATCGCGGTGGTCTTTCTGAACCTAGAACCATGATATTTGGAATATTTGGCGAATTCTCTTCCGGCGTGATGGGAGTATCTTCAAAATCGGTTGTTGGGGTTTCGGGTAGGATAACATATCTTGTAGGTGTATGATCTTCAGGACTTTCTGATAGTGAAGCTAAACTACTAGACTTGGTATGTGAAGAGCGAGACATTTGATCGGATGATGTTCTGAAAGTCGTTTGAGATGGGCGAGGTGTACCCCTCTCAGGACGAACTTGTGTCCAACCTTCTCGGAAAAGATCACATAATTCCCAACAAGCCTGAACAGCAGACCCAAGAAGCTCTTCATCTGCCATTTTTCCTTCTCTTCTGTTTTGTCGAAGACTGAAAAGCATTTCAGCCAGACTCCAACAAGCTCGGAGAAGAGCATCTGTCTCTTCAGCAAGTTCACTTCTTTGTTTCATGAGTCGATGGCATAGCGTTATGTAAAAGTCCAGAGTTCTTTCTCGAAAAGCTTCTGGTAAATTGCGATCGTGTGTATTATATAAGTGGTTGTTCAATTCGAAACTAACCCTCAATACTGAGTCGGCTACCTCGTCTTTCTTTTGCCGCACATCAAATAGAGATTGGCAAAAATCCCTACAAAGATCGAGCGTTGGCCTAACATGAAACTCGTGATCTTCGTCGCGGCTATCATATAGTTTCTTGCAGAGCTTCCAACAACATTTCCAAGCTTTTTCGTGAGCATCCCCGGATCCAGAAAAGCTAAATATCCTTTCACGGTGAATAGAGCTAAGACTAGCCAACGTATTGCAGAGTGTCCAACATTCATTAAGCGCCGTCTTCAAGGCTGATACTTCCTCGTCCGCATTATGAACTGTACGAGCATCGAAATCGTCTTCCGAAAAGTCCTTGGGAAGTTCCTCGGGAATCCCTACATCTAGTGAGTAAGGAATCTTTGTATCTTCTTCTTCGGTTATACCTTCAAGACTACTCGGCCGAGATGGTCGTCTCTCTTCCGAAAACGACTCAACTTCTTGACGAGTTTGCGCTCGAGGAGTTTGATTCTCCAAACCGAATCTCATCGGCTTTATGTCTGTAGAAATGGGCGGAGGTGAAACTGGACCTGACTCGATAGACTATGTTGTTGTTAGCTTAGCAAAGATGTATAGTATAATATAAGGGGGCTTACCTTATCCGCATGATCAGCAACCTGGAGGATTTCTTGACTCATTCCTGGACTATTATTGGGACTCCCACTTGGACTCGTTTTTGGACTGGTCTTCGGGCTTGTCCTTTGATTACACTTAGGACTGGTGCGAGGGCTACTTCTTGGACTACTTCTTGAACTTCTGGACTGCTGGTATGGAGTTGGTGTTGAACGATCCAAGATTGCTTTCGCCGATTGTACTGGAGTCGCATCACTGAACGGCTGTTATGCATCAGCTCTTAATTCTTTACCATGCAGCTCTATTGCTCACAAATTTTGCGTAGCCCTCGGGGGCGTGGATGACCGAGACAGACTCATCTTCGATGGAAGCACGAAATTCTTCTGGTAGATTTGTGCTGAGCCTTTTCAACTGTTTATAGTATCAGCAACAATGTTTCCAACCGTGGTGGTGTACCAACAGTAAGTTGCGAATCGGCTCTGGGTATATCCTCATGATTCATGGTTTCATCTGCCACTTCATCATCCTCAATATCTGTGGTTGTAGTGCCATTCGAGGTCACTGGCGAAGGCCCCACCATATCACTCATTGGACTGAGTAGGTGCGCGCTGGCAGGAGAGAGGCCGTCCTCGAAGGGAGTTGGTTGGAGATTGGAACCTGAGTAATTTCGCGCGGGCCTATATGATAATATTAGCATGGTCAGTTTTTGAACTGGTGCAACATACAGCGATTGGTAATATGGAGATCTTTGAATTGAAGGAGAACATGGTGAAAGAGAAAAGTCTGTATAGGGAGAGATGGCTGACATGACGTTGACAGGTGAGGCAAGCAATGGACTTTCTACTGCCATTCTCCTGATATTTTGAGGCCCCAATAAAAAGATAAGAAGCTCGCACACTTCATAAAAGATTGTCTAGGTGGGACCTCGATGCTCAAGTATAAAGAAGAAATGGTAATGCTTACAACGCCAGGTTTTGGGAGGGGTTACCACTCACAGCTTCGGACGTTGGAGTGGATCAGAGAACGCGGAGGCTGAATGGAGGAAAGTCTGGCGCGGATCAAGAGTTCCAAGCTCAGGGCTTTGGAACTGAGTTTAGCAGAAGTGTTGGCACCACAAGGAAATAATATACTTGGATCGTAAAGAGTTTAGTAGATGGTGTGGATGCGTGTAGCCAAAAATATTCAATATTCAAAATCAATAAGAATAACAATAAGAAACTTTACACGCTCAGATGCAAAAGATAGGTAAGATTTTGGAGAATTACTCGTTGATGAACAGGCTTAGGAAAGCGCTGTGCCGCAAAGTCACGTCCTCGGGGAGGATTTCGATATAAAGTGGTACTTTATTATGACTTTCGCGCGTGGACCTGGCATCGGCGGGGGTTGATTTTCCTTGTGGGGAAAGATGGAGCGAGGATGTTAAGGATGTTAAGGGTGTTTAGGATGTTTAGGATGTGAGGATTCCTTCGTATGTCTACAACGTATCTGGCAATACCTACGTACAGATAAGAGAACGAACCGGACCCTCTCATTTTAATTATATATTCTCTTTCGAATTCCTCGCATGAAGAATATTCCATGGACCTTATTGTTCCTATTGTTATTTTCGCGAATAGATAAACCAAACCATACAAGATACAATAAATGTACCGGTGCCAAAACAAACACTCTCTTTGGTCCCTTGTCGCGATGAGTACAAAATCTGCAATGTTGAAGCGGGACAAGAAATGAACATGAGAGTCCAGATAATAGGCTGATAACACCGTTCAGAAAAGGATTACCTAGGTAGGTACCATCCATTATGGCTTTCTCGATGCAAGAAGAAATCATAGTTGGCCCAATCATATCCGTCAATCCATGTCTTTTGATCCTCCCCGCTTGCATATATGCAGACTACAAGCATGACGGGCGCTTACAAGTTTATTTTCCAGATATACTACATACCTGGGTTCTTTTGACGGCTTCCATTGTCTTGAATTAAAGTAGGCCGAGTATATTTGTATCTACATGAAATATACAACTTAGTGCTCGACTGACATGTCTAGTGTTGACTCCATTTATCCCGATTATAACGGAAGGTGGGTAATCTCAATTCGAAACATGAGAAACTACAGCAGCATATGTACAATACCGGCAACTAATCTCATGTTATCACAAATCTATAAATCGGAGAACCGTTTCCTGATTCATATACAAAGTAACATCTGGACGGGAATAAAGTATCTCATGATGTTCCATGTCTCGAAACTCGTAAAGTCGCCATGGAAGGATGAAGGAATAGGGAACAACGTCTATTGTCAAGGAACAAGAAAACACTGACAATCAGACCAACAGTTGCAAATCGCGAACCAAACAGCTGGGTCTATCATGACCGCAATAATAGCTTCAACTATACCCAGATTAGGTTCATTGCGAACATCACTGCCAATATTTGAGCACTTCGGGACAAAGTAATAAGCATAAGCATATCCGAAACCACGGGAATGTCATTCAAGTTAGTTAGATGGGTCGGCCGATCATCATCGCCCAAACAAAAATTTACCAGTCTTGCGCCAGTGTGGGCGGAACGAATATCGTGGACTGGCTACACGGAATGATGTTCTCTATCTGGTGGTCCATTCCGATGATAATGACATTATCCTAGTCCTTGTTAATACTCTCCACAGGTACCTGTGTCGAAAGTTTTCTCTCTTCAAGGCCTTAGATCGATCGATGCAAAATCCCCAAATCCATGTTTGTTCTGATTCGACGAGTTTCTCGTACTTTTGACGACTTGTCAAAATCAAGCAATACGCGTCGAAGTTTGATGCAAGTTTGCACCAACATGACTCCACCGCTTCTAGCCTTATAGACACGCCAGCTTTTCCCATTCTCTGCATTGCATGAGGTTATAAAAGACCACTCATTGACAATCGCTCTTACAAACCGGCAAAGTCCTGGTTGGTAGAGTAAGCTCCTGCCGTCGGTGAATACTAAAGTTTCTCGTTAGTGGCTTGTCAGATTTAAGTTCACTCCACATCAATACAGCCCAAGTCCAATGCGTTGTACGTGCATGATAGAGAACCAGTTCCTTGGGACAACTTCTACCATCAATTATCAAGTGTTATTTGGGCGCTTGGTGAACGTCTGATAGTGTTCCCAAAACAACCAACAATGCATGTACGAAAGTATGGTATGGTTCTGTTGTAAATAATCCTTGATTGTGAAAATTCGATAATGAGCCGCAAATATTATCTCCCCCCTCCTCCGTTCAAAAATTCAACACCGCTCGCAAATGTTTACTACACACCAATCACCGTTGGGTGTAGCCCTGGAACGCCCACGCCAAAATCTGTAGCATTTGGATTATGATCTCCAATCAACGCCTATACCATCTGCCTCCCTGTCTGCTATGGTATCGTCTAATCGCATATCGCGCTTCTTCCGATTGAGCAGATTGAGAAATTGGGATCATCCGAATCGAGGGGTGTACGAGTAAAAGGTAATATGGCTGATTTGACTTATTAACCGTTCAAAGCGGCCTTTTTCGCATCTCTCTCCGCAGGATTGTATCTAACGAATCGGTCAGTAAATGAGGAAGAAATTGTTCATCTGATATGTAAACGCAGCCCCCTGCTTCTTTGTTCATCTGCCACAATAATGGGAGTGATATTTCGTACCTAAGAAGTTTCTCGATGAGGTCGACATGGGTCATGATCATGCGACGGCAGCAGTATCTCTTTAAAGTGAGCTCATCCATAGCATCACTATAACAATTTATTAGTATTGTGGAGCAATAAGAACAGTGTGCAATGTGGTTCTCTAACCCGTCGTTGACTCCCTCGTCAATGAGCTTGACATATCGCTCCCAGATGTCTCCGGTAACCTGTTCTACCGGTTAGCGCACGACTCTTGCGCAAATGCTTGATGTAGTTCACCTTTCCGCAAGAGAAACAACGAACTGGAATAATCATTTTGATGTGTATAGGTGTAGATGTCAATATCTGCGATGATGTTGTGGTTTCTAGGATATAAATTGAAGTTCTGCGCGTGAGTTGATACCAAGAACTTTTTTCTTTATCGCCGGAACAACTATCGGTAGATCTTCGGTTATCTAATAAAAAAATAAAAACGTTCAGAGCTTCTGCCTCATATTTGCCAATCCGAACCTTTAACCTTTTTTGACTTTCAAGAACTTTTCACAACACAATGGCTTCCATATTGAAGCGCAAAAGAGTTCAAACAGAGTTAGCAGATATTCCCAAGAGGTCTAAACCTACCTCAGAATCTGCGGATACTTCTACCAAATTTGTTCAGAGCAACGGCGGGTTTGACATTTTTGAAGCGCTAGGAAAGGGAAAAGAATTGGCCCAGGTCAATGGCGCGCATGTCAAAGATGAATTAGAATCAACAGAGGTTATCGATTTTGAGGATCTATTTGAGGATGTGCCATTACAATCTACGGATTCGCAGGTAAAACGAGGAATGAAGCCGAAGAAGGAAATTTGGGAAAAGAAAATTCCACAGGCCCCCAAGCCAGTGAAAGATCAAAGCTGGAATATTTCAGAACCTGTTGGTGGGCGTATGATCGATGCCGACCCTATTTTTACAGAAGACGAGAAGTATGTCATCGATATCTCTTTGCGAAAAGCTCAATTGCTAACTACAGCCAAGGTCTATGATCTTAGCAACCCGAATGAGCCTCCTCATCTACTCAACCTCCGATTCTCTCCTCACCCGAACGATACAATTCGACCACTCGAAACATCCTTTCGCTCACATTGTCGCATACGAGCTCTCGCCGACAGATTCTAATATCGTTTGGGCAGCCTTGTCTGATGGAGCCATATACCGCCTGGACTGGACTTCGGGAACTGGCAACGATCAATCCTGGAAGATTTCGTCTACCGGGTGCATACATATGACTGTCGCTTCTATGGTATCCGCTGGGCGACGAAGAGATGTAGTATTCACAACCGAACCTAAGAAGGACGGCGGCTGGCGAATTACCGCTAATGAATTGACTCAGCCTGGTTCGCCAATACAGACAGTCGCAAGAACCATTTATACTTCAACAAACCCAATCAACTATTTAAAAACTGCTAATGGAGGCTCTGTACTGCTAGCGGCTTCTGGAAAGAGCATCTTACTTGGTTATGTTCGGAACTTGAATTTCGATACTACTGACAAGATCAAGTACGTATTCCGTATGTTTGATTCGACTGCTCCTATAATGTCTTTGGATGCACGAGTATATCCTAGAACAAGTACCGATGACAGAAACATTTCAAAAAAGATACCAATTGTTGATGTAGTGGTTGGTGATGCGAAAGGATTTATCTTCATACATCGTGATTTGCTAGGCAATCTCATACAATCAGAAAATAAAAACTATGCATCCATGATCAACCTTGTACCGACAAGATTACATTGGCACAGAAGGGGTGTCCAGACCGTCAAGTGGTCTCTAGATGGTATGTATATTTTTCGCGCTTTACTCTCTAGCAACACCTGCACCTGAGCTAACCCGATAATAGGAAACTACATTATATCAGGAGGTAGCGAAACAGTCCTCGTGCTTTGGCAATTAGATACCGGAAAGACGCAGTTTTTACCTCACATGACATCTACTATTCTGAATGTGGTCGTATCTCCTTCTGGATCCTCGTACGGGATCCAGCTTGCTGATAATTCTGCGATGGTGTTGTCTACAGCCGAATTGGAACCGACGGCAAATTTTGCTGGCATTCAATCCAGTGTCACCCAATACGCCGAACCTCGAGCAGATGAAGTGCAGAGAGCAAAATCCCATTTCTATAAATTTCATGTTGTCCAGCGGACACCTGCTGTTATCAGTTCTGTAAATCCTTCTCATCTGTTCCTTGGTGTTGGACAGACTCCAGAAGTGCCATTTTACGAAGCTCCTGTTAGAAATTGTTCATTCTTACAGACCTATGACCTCAGTGCTGGACACAATGTATCAAAACAAGCTCTTGCAAGGACAAATGTCACCAGTATTAACGAGACACCAAATGCACTTCCAGTGTCGGAACCCAGAGTCACTCATATTCAGAAATCCCACGATGGCCTTTGGTTAGCTACTGTTGATGAGTGGACGCCATCTCACGCCGACCTCGATTTCGTAACTCACCAGGCTACAAACCCATTTGCTGAATTGAAACTGAGGCGCGAAATCTGTCTAAAGTTCTGGCAGTGGAAAGAAGCAGAGCAGACATGGGAATTGGTATCGCGAATCAATACTCCACACATGGCAAGTGATGCCGCCCCTGGAGCTGGTCAAATCCTGGGTCTGGCCGCAGATCCTAGCTCCTTGAGATTTTCTACGATAGGAGAAGACAGTGTGGTGCGAACATGGGTTCCAAAAACTCGAAAAAGAGATGGCATCGCAGTCAAGGATGGAAAGGGCAACGCTCTCAAAAACTGGCACTGCCAGCATGAAATTCAACTTGAAAAGTCTGAGCTGACCGATGACTACTTGCGTAGTACGCCATACAATGGTGCTATAGCGTTCGCGGATGATGGCTCGATTCTAGCTGCAGCATTTGGTAAAAACGGAACAGTTCACATGATCGATCCAGAACAAGGCTCCGTCACAGCTTCACAACACGGCCTATTCGAAGGTAGCATCGTGGCCATGGAGATCCTGGGCAGAGATCTCATAACCCTATCCGATTCGATTCGTGTACATGATTTGGTTTCGGATCAATTGAGGTATAGCTTAAAGCTATACAAATCTATCACACGGATGCATATCATACAAAAAATCGAGATGATGCATTTAGCCATCAATCGAAACAGTCGCACATTCGCAGTCGCTATTCCAATGAGACTCACTCCTCCATCAGCAGAGGAACTTAGAGAGCAAACTTTCCCGCCAACGTATTCTGGGTTCGCCGTTTTTGGCCAGGAAAGTCAAGTGCCACTGTTGACCGAGTGCTTCGAGACTGCGGTGTCGGCTATTATACCCACTGAGGATTCGGAAGGATTCTTGGTCCTTAATGGAGCTGCTGAAGTCCGAAATGTGATGAAGAAGGGCACTCAACCAATAACCGCATTGGCTCAATCAACTACTGAGCTTCAATTAGATGCAATTGCAGATGAGTCAACTGGTGATCTGCTACAAATGGTTGAGGATGTTGAGGATGAGCCGGAAGAAGCTGAACCTTTATCGCCTGCAGTCGTTGAGGAAGATGATGATACACCTGTTGTGACACAACAAGCACTTTCAGGTGTATTTGATATTGGGCCAGCATTTGCATTGCCACCCTTGGAGGAGATGTTCTATCAAGTGGCAGGATTGTTTTCTAGTAAACCTTTGGAAAAGATGGTATAATGAATTTTAATGGTTTCTGTACTTTAAGTTGGCATAGCGAGGGCGGTTTATAAAACCTTGAGCGTTAGGGAGCTTTGTATATGGCTGTACAGAGCTTAAAAGTATTCATACCTTGCAGACTTTGGCGAACTTACTTTGGCGAGTTTTCCTTGACTTGGAATAAAATGTTAATATTACTTGTCGATGTGCTTCATGATTTTTTTCCTTTGTGAGGAGACCCTTCAGCGGTTACATATCTTCTTACTTATCATTAAGGGTCGTTTTATGCGGATCGCGTCAGATAACGAAATGACCCCGCACCCCACTTCCCATCTAGGGTTCATGAATTTGTTCACTAAGCATTACTTGGAGTAACATCACATCATGTTGCTAGCAAATTCGTGATCCTATGAATTACAATTTCCATATCAATCTCATGATATAAAAGTTTCCTTTTCTATCATACAATTTTCAATACTTGGCACTGTACAAAGAAATACCACTACCATACATAATGTCCTTCACCAATATCCCGATACTCGACCTCTCTCTCGCCAGATCCCCAGAAACTAAACCCGACTTTCTGGATCAACTGCGCCATGCACTACTCGAAGTGGGATTTCTATATCTGAAGAACGTTGGGATAACCCAGGAATTAATAGATAATGTTATCGAGGAAGGGGTCAAGTTCTTTGATATACCTCTGGAGGAAAAGTATGTTTTCTCTGCTCACTTCTCACATCTCACTCCATCCATATACTTCTATCAACACCCAATAGGTATACCAAACCTCCAATTTAACTTTATTCAGGACCAAAATCCAAATGGTCAACGCGCCCTCATTCCTAGGCTACTCCCCCCTCTCTGCCGAAATCACCGCCCACGCGATCGATCAACGCGAACAAATCGATCTCTCCACTCCCCATCCCATCCCTACTGCTACCGATCCCCTCCACTACAATCTCCTCGCTCCCAATCTCTGGCCCTCGCCCGCCTATCTCCCTAACTTCCGTCCCGTTTTCGAATCATACATTAAACAAATGGGTGATATATCCATATTGTTCACCAGTTTGATCGCAGAAGCCATTGGACTCCCCTCGAATGCATTTGAGCGATATTTCGATGCCGATCAACAGCATAAATTAAAAGTGGTTAAATATCCGGATTTGAAGGAATTGGGTCTGCGGCCCGAACAAGAGGGTCAGGGAGTAGGTCCGCATAAGGATTCCATGTTGACGTCATATTTATTGCAGGTTGGGGATAAGAAGGGGCTACAGGTGCAGAATTTGAGAGGGGAGTGGATTGATTGTCCGCCGATTGAAGGGACGTTGGTGGTGGCTATTGGACAGGGAATGGAGGCGCTGACGAAGGGGGTTTGTATGAGTACTACGCATAGGGTCTTGAGTCCACAGTATGGAGGGGGGCCGAGATATAGTGTGCCATTTTTTCAGGGGGTGAGGGGTAGTACGAGGTTTGAGGAGTTGAATGAGGTGGGGATTGGGGAGGTGAAGGAGGAGGTTAAGCAGATGAGGAGAAAGGTTTTGGAGAGTGTGGGGGGTAGGTTGGATGATGTGGAGTTTACTTTTAGAGGGGGCGGAAAGGCGGATACGCTAGGGGAAGCGACGTTGAGAAATAGGATTAAGAGCCATGTGGATGTGGGAGAAAAATGGTATCCAGAAATTCTTGCCGATATAAGAGCAGAGCAAGAAGCGGAACGCAGACAAAAGGGTTTACCCGTTACTCCACCCGCAGAAACATAAGGCAGAGATTCATTGTCTCAAACAAATTCAATAGTCCATATGAACCCAACTAAGTCAAGCCCCTTTTCGTTGTTGTATGCCGATCCGAACTACCTGACTGGTCCCGATCCATTACTCATCATGCGAGGTAAAACACACATTTGTAGATAAGATGCAGATTGTTCTGGTTCAGATAGCTAGTCTGCTGGCTTGTGAATAAACGCCTTTATATCTCCCGCCCATGCGCCAATCGCTTGTTCTTCTTTCGCAAATTGATATCAATCCTCTGATCATCGAAACCCAAAAATTTCCTCTACCACATCTGCCCAACCGTAAAATATCGTGTCTTCGTCATTGCGTCGTACGAAATCGTAAGATGAGTCGCACAAAGAAGTGTCGAGGATTTATTTCTTGCCAACTAATGCAGCCTGCTGAGCCATAAACGATGGGAAGCAGAGTTCCGGTCCTTTTGAGTGTTTGTTCATGGCGTGTTCAGTGAGACTGGTTATGGGATATTAGTTTCGGTATGGTTGAAGTTGGCTTGATGCTTCAAGAAACAAAACGACTGCGGGTGTCCCAAAAGTCCTTGCAACCTTTTTTCCATCTTTTTCTTCCTGCAGGATTCTCCCCGCCCCGACGCATAATTCCCAGAATACCCGCCTCTTTTCTTTCAAGACTGATGATTGTGCGAAATGGCAAATATGAATCGCAAATGAAGAAATAAAATACTCACGCAGGAAGTCTAGTGGTCTTCAAGAAAGTGGTCTTGCAAACCTCGCATTGAATATCCTTTGCTGACTCGTTGACCTTCAGTTGCGACTTTGCGACACCCTTCTCAGCATCTTTTTGATTGCGTGCACGCTTGGAAGCTGCTTTTGCGCCCTGTGAAAAGGTTAGGTCTCCAGTATTTAGAATGCGACGATCATAGTACGTGATCGAAAACCGGGTTGAGAGACCCTAAGGTGGAGAATCTCCCTGGCCTTGATTGACCGGACAAGAAAAAAGGGTTATAGAGTTTAAAGGGGAAATAAGGGTAAAGAGATCAAACTTACATTACCTCCTCCCATTTTCAAAGATGTTTTGATTGAATTAAGAAGTTATTAAATTGTGTATATGGATGTATGTATGTATGAATGATTGAAGTGATCCGAGACTTTCTTGATTTCTTGAAGAAGAAGAAGAAGTTGGGGGGAAAGAGAAGAGAAGAGAAGAGGAGAAAAATAAGAAGTTCTGGAACTTTTTAATGCGTGTACCAATAATATTTTTTTTTGCTTACGGAGTCCGATAAGATAGCTGTAGAGGATTGGACTAGGTAGGTAGATTTTATCTTGTCTCATCTTTACTACCACCTACTTACTTATTACTTGTCAAAATAATAAATAATAAATAATAAATAATAATTTGATTTAATTCGCTTAACTACGGTGTATATTATAAATTAGCTCCATTTGAGTAACAATCTCATATTTTACCTAACCCCAAAACAGCATTAACATTTCACCTAGCATCCATAACATAAATCCACGTCGCGTCGCGCATTCCCTCCTCATCTCTTCTCTTTCTTATTTTACTTTTTTTTATTTTTCAAAATAAAAACTTCCATCAACTTCATCAATATAATTTAGAAATTCCTCTTGAATGCTTCGATCTATTTCAAATTCTCTCAATCCTCTATTCGGAAGTCCAAGAAAATCGACACTTGAAGATCGTTTTGAGGGAGAGACAGATCAAGAATTCACCATGTCTTCACCAAATGATATTACTCTCGCTGAGTTCAACCAAACGTTGGCAAGATATCCTGCTCTACTCAATAAATATGCAAAAGACAGTAAGTTCATTCTTTCCTTGATCGTTCACGAAAGATTGCGTTGTTGATTTAATATTCTATTTAGCAAAAGAAGGTGTTACTCCACTTCAAGAGCTCGATAGATTCAGATATGTTGAGGCGCCAGCAAAGTTTAAGGATGGTTCAAACACTTTCTCTATTGAAGATATCACAAAGTTGGTTGATTGGAAACTGTAAGTTTATTTCATTCCCATTATTTGCTTTATTTTCAATTGTTTTCTTTTTTCGCGATATTTTGTTTGTCGATTGGTAGGTGGAGAAGAACCCGCGTTTGGATGTCTGAAGCTCGGCTTTCCGAAGGCTCCTTCACTTTCCCACCCTCATCGCAAAAAAATAAGAAAAAATATTTCATCTTATTTTTATTATTTCTTCATCTATAAAGTTACTATGGAATGTCATTTAAAATTATCTCGATACTAATTTTCGATTTAGTCGACATGGTGCCTATCGTCCAGGTTTCTTGAAGAAGGTTGGCAAAAACTCAGATGAGCTTGTTGAGGCTGCTACCAAGGATGCTTTCGACTACTACAAGACCAACCCAACAGATATTGGTGTTGTCATCAACAAACTCAAGGATCCTTTGATGGGAATTGGACCGGCTACTGCCTCCCTCATCCTCTCTGTCCGTTATCCTGATCATGTGACATTCTTCAGTGATGAATGCTTCAAATGGCTCGTCAATGATGGAGAACATAAACCAACACCAAAATACAACGTCGCCGAATTTGAGAAAATCCACGCCGCCGCTAAATCTTTGGCCACTCGTCTCCGCGTCAATCCTCTTCAAATTGAGAAGGTTGCTTTCGTCATTATCAAGGAAACTGAGCCAGTTCTCGTCCCAAGGGAGAAGCCCGCCCCCAGTGGCCGTGGTCGAGGTCGTCCCGCTAAGCCTGATAGCGAGAAGAAGATCAAGGTTCCTTCCGGGCGTGGACGTGGCCGACCTTCCAGTGGTATCGTAAAGCCTAAACCTACTCCAAGAGTTCCAAAACCTCCCAAGGAGCCAAAAGCCCCAAAAGAACCTAAGCCCGCCAAAGAACCTAAAGCACCAAAAGAGCCCAAGCCTGTCAAGGAACCCAAAGCTGCTAAGACTCCTAAGTCTCCAAAGGCAAAGGCTGTTGTTGAGAAGAAAACTCCAGGAAAGAGAGGAAGACCCGCAAAGGTGCCTGCTGCCGAAGGTGATGTTGCCGAGAAGCCTGCTGCTACACCAAGCTCGGGTAAGAAGAGAGGAAGACCTGCCAAAGAACAAACCAGCGACACTCCAGCATCTGCTACCCCTGTTAGCAAGAAGAGAAAGGCATCTGATGATGCTGGTACACCAAGCTCTGCTGGTCGTGGTCGCCCCAAGAAGGTCAAGGCTTGATTGATTCATTATCATGGAGTAAGATTGTTCAGAAGGAGGTCTTGTGGTACCGACTAGCTCTTTCTTTGGAAATACATATCTATGCAGGTATTTTCCCCAGGCTCTTGAGTAGGCTTTGCATTACTATTTCTTCTTTGCAAATATGGACATATGGAACAGTGATAGCGTTGGGTTTCGCGCTGAGCTTTTTGTTTTTGCTTATCACGGGTGTTGATCTGGAGATATGATCGGGATGGATGGGATGGATAAATTTGTTCTCTTTTCTCTTTGGCTCGGATTTGTATGATAACAGAATATGGAGAGAAGATCAATTGTACAGCAATGAAATGTTTAATAGCTTCGTTTTGATCTGATTTGGACTGTGAAATGCGTGTATACGCCAGGCCGACTACCTGATTCGATGCGAGTGAAGCTATGGCAATCGAGTTTGGAAATTGATGTCTACAGCTCAGATGACGTGTATATATATCTTGCTCGGGGCGCAGTCTCTGCAAACATTAGCACACTTCGTCGCGTGTTCCTACACGACACAGAGGGAGGTTTATATTGTGATATTTGAAACACTAGCATCATCTCCACCGAGCAGCGGCATATAACATAGGTACACGTCCAAGCTTCATCTCGACAAATACAATTTAATTGCTTTAATAAAGATTGCTGGTCCACCTTCTTTCAATGTGAGCACAGAATAGCCCAATGGCCTCAAATCTCCCATCATCGACTCACACAACGCAATCAACTGTTGAAATCCCATACTAATAACTCCATCTATATTTGCAACGGCTTTGGGAACTTGACTTACTTCTTGTGTCAAATTTTAGGGAGTGCGGGATATGTATCTTGTTGCACGTCGTAATGTTGAGTGGCGCTGGTGTTGCATGGGTTAGGCTGGGATTTACAAGAGTATGTTGGTTCTGTTTCCCGTATAAAAAGATCACCGGGACTTGATGTAGATTTCTTGGAGCTTATAAAGGCCTATTAAAGTCTAGAGTCTGTATGAGATGATTTCAGTAGAACATTGGACTAATTCCCTGCTAGGAATGGTGATGGTGTGGAAAGGTGGATTGCTAAGATTGATGATATCATGAGAAGAGAAACATTGAGTGGCGGTTTGGAGATTGGAGGAATATAGCTATGTGCTAGAGGTTAGACATTGTAATGCCTGTTCATAGACTCTGCTTAAATTCATCTATTCTTGTCTTTATATCTCAACCAATGATGCAGCCAAGGTACACCTGCTGACCCAACATGTTCAGTTATCTAATCGTGCTTTGACTTGAGATGTGCAACAAAACGCTCAGAAGGTCTTGTACGGGATATACCCAGAAATCTGATCTGATTGGGAGCAATGACCTAATTGGAGGAGAAGCGATGGTTGAGGGAAGGACTAAATGGAGGCTAGACCAGAAGGATATGATATTTCAATGCTTTGACAAGCGAAGGGGAACGAATATGAGGTTTCGGATTGAGGTAGTGTGTGATGTTTCGATGAGATGAATTTCTCTTTACAACATGGGATTTCCCTACCTGTTATCGTGCTCTTAGGTCTGATATTAGTATTCTCAAATCTGATACAGATTAGTGCTCGGTAAACTCAACGATAGAGATGACAGCTAAGGTAGACATCACGCCTCATGAGCTTCATGTAAGATTCGTTCCTATTCTTTGTGAACTGCGTATCGAAACCCGCTCACGGGTATTATTTAATTCACATTAGTCTTTTTCCTCGTTATTTCCTCAATTGGGCGTCAAAGACTCTGCTCTAGATGAACTCTCACTCTAAAATAAGCAAGCGCTTCCCCACATCTATTTTTATCCCCAGTCTCCAACCTCAAATCTTACTTCTCGAACGCACCACCAATCATTGAATTTCACGCATCACGAAATGTCACTCCTCTTCTCACTCTCGACCAAACAATTCTCTTGCGAACAATAATCCTTAGAAAATCACCTACACCGTCAGCCTTTACCGTTATACTAATCTCTCGATGACTTTTGTTGCACATCGCATTCTGCTCGCGAATTTCCTATTGCGTTCAAGAATCGAATGATTGGCTATGATGGACTGAGAGAGGAGCCATAAAATACATGGACCGAGATAAGCAGCAACATTAATTGGATATCATACTGCGGAAGAGGGCCAAAACCTGGGTCTACCTAATCTGAAATATACCACGTCATCGAAGCATTTGAAGCCTGCAAGTCTGGTGCTTCAACTATCAATGCACATGGGTGATCTCCCGAAATTTTACCCCCAGATATTCGTATACAAGGGTAATTTTGAAATGGTCTTCCTATTCGTCAATATATACGAGGCGCGTATACACACGGACTTGCAAGCGCCTTATCTGATATATATCTTGAAGGATATTGGATTTTTGAACGATTGTGTCTATACCCAATTAGCCTAGATGACTGGTGTATGTTGACCAATCAATTGCCTGCTTAACTCTCCTGGTATGCAGTAAGTCCCTTTTGTTGCGTTCCTTCTTGGAGTCGTCTGTGCTCCTGTTGGTTGTACTGTTGCCTCGAAAACGTCTTGTTGCAGATCTGATCTTCCATGCTGGGTTCTCAATCGCTATTTAGCTCGCATTAGGCTTCCGAGTGGATGGTCTCCAGTGCGTCAACTCTTGACTGCTATAGGGCCCGCAATGCTGCACTTGCAAAACTCAACAGCTACATCACGAAGCTTCCAGAGATAGTCTGCCAGGCCTCTCGGTTTTTTGGTGGTACAAGTTTTGCACAATGTTCTCGGAAGTTTATGTCATTTGTTGCTCCGTGCCATCTTACTAGCAGGCGTTCCCATCTCGGCCTTGTCAGTTGAGAAGTTCATCTCTTTGAATTACCCCAGCTAGGAAATGGTAAACTCCTTCCTGATTCTGCCTCCAAACGGCCCATAGATTCATAGTACATCCGTAAGGTCTTTTGATAGATCTGCCCTCTACCACGGTCCGCAAAAGCACCACTGCGCAACACCGAAGCCCCAGCCGTACCGCATTCGCTTAGAAAGCTTATTGCGCGCCTAATTGCAATTGTGAGCTATCTCCACGAGGTCATCATTCCGGTCTCGGTTCTCCGAAGTACTATATATATGTATTTTCTTACAAGGGAATCCCTAGTAGGAACTGATGTTAGTCTCTCTTATCTCTTGGTAATGTACGCAAAGTTATTGATTCTGGGGTTCTAACAATTGCTTCGAGATCCCCGGCCACAAATCGATTGTCACAAGTCTATATATACGCATTAGGTAGAGAAACAAGGTCAATTAACGTATATGGTAGCCCGTGGTCTTCCGCCTCAAATTGGGCCGAATGATACGTATCGAATATGTCGGGCTTTAGCTACTGAAAGCTGTGGCTAAGGTAAGTCATGTTGTAGTTCGCCTGTAGAATATCTTACTCTTTTACATGCCATGATAGGCGCGCGTCTGGACAGAACAACTAGATGGGTCATATTTAAGAAGGCCAAGAGCATTTTGACATAATAGATTACTATAATTATCCATCTTAGGCCAGAGAGCGGTAGCTCCTAACCTGTTCTGAGTCCCAAATATAATTATGTTGCACATCTACATTAGGCAGCGAATATAGAGTTATAGTATTTTACAATTAGGGGAGCCCCTTCGAGCTTCTATCACCCCTGTTACCGATGTAGACATGCAACAAATCTTCTTGAGCACTTGAGTGGGATCGGAATCCGTAGCATGCAAATCTCGGAATGAGAACAATGGATATAAAGTAAATTGCTCTACACTATAGCTTTCACGTGATATCATTAAAACCCTAATGAATGCTCTGAGATAGAGTGCTTGAGTCATAATGTTAAATATAGACTTGAAGACAAGTCGCTGTTAGCAACATAAATTGTCTTGAGGCAAAGAATGAGACTCCAGCAAATTGCTAGGTGATTGTAGTATAACGAAATCTAGAACCTCTTGTTCCAAGTAGCACCTAGAGCTAGAGCTACTTTTTGTGTGTTCTTTGCATGTCCAAGGCAATTCCTTCCTTAACAAGCTGTATGTTAAAGTAGCGATTGGCAAGAAATTATGGTTTTTGTTATTTTACCGGTAGAGATTCTGGCAAGTGTATAATAGCGCCGTTAATGGAATTAGGTTAGCTAGTTGCAAGTTAACATAACACTAACAATTTACACTGCCATTATCTTGATATATTCCGCTCGTTAGTCCTGACCTGAATTCAAGATTCCGTTTCTGTTCTATGCTCCGATCTCTTTTATGCGCATATCTTCTAGGTGTTATTTGGCTATTTCTACCTTTGCTAAAATACTTCAAACAAAGAGAGAGCTTTTGACTCTCAGGGAGACCCAAGTGCATGCAATAAGCTTAAACTTTCCTTGACTTGACGGTTCTCGAGGCTTCCAGTGTGCAGAAGAAGTAGGTGCGATGAATCCAAAGTATCCTACTAACAACACACGCCTCTCAGCAATCGAATGCACCTGGCTTTAGGAAACATTATTTCCGTTTAAAAAAATGTTTGTGTAGTTTGAGACTTTCAATAATCCTGGTGATATTCATTCATAATGATTGAATGAAATAATTTACAACAAGAGTTCATATACATCGTCTCATGTCATTAGCTGACACAATTCAATTTTCAATCCACACATTGCATTACTATACAGTATGATTAAACCCAATTGAGCTAGGAGCTAAGCTAGTTGTTGATCTTGTTCATAGGCAGATTTCTAGATTGATATAAAAATTCCCCCTCCATTCCCATGAACTCAATCCCCAACAAATCTGTCAAAGCAAGATCCCTTGATACATTAGGAAATCTTCTAAGATCATTGACTTCTAGGTTATTTTCCAATCCTTCTATTATATAACAATCCTTTTCTTCAACCATCTCCTCTCAACATTATCAAAGCAAAGACAATTTCCCAACCCCTGAGATTGTCGGTAAACATGGCAAATGTAAGTACCACCCATATTCTAACATATGATTCTTTATTTACATGCATTGTAGTTTTCCTCACGTCGAAAAACCAGCTTGAGAAACTACAGACCAACAGATAGAAACAAAAATCCAACCCAACTCAAATGCACCGTTTGTGAAGAGTTTCAAGATTTTCAACAAATGGCTAAATTTCCTTGCGATTGTGCATGGTGCAGCACTTGCGTCCAAAGACGTTTCACTCTCGCAATTGAATCCGCATACATGTTTCCTGTCGAATGCTGCGGGGGTGCTATCACTCTCACGCCCTTTTCTCATTTGTTGTCTCCTGATACCATTCGCGACTATGAAGCCAAGAAAATCGAATACGAAACCCTCGATCGTACTTATTGCGCCAACAAAGTGTGCTCTGCATTTATCGTCAAGGAATATATCATCGAACCTAAAGCTTTCTGTGCCAAGTCGCCATGTAATACGATCACATGCACAAAGTGCAAGAGCGAATGGCATGATGGAGAATGTCCTCGCGATCAGAATCAAGAGCTAGTTCTGGCTGAGGCTCAAAGACGAGGCTGGAAACGATGTGCGAAATGCGGTACCTTGATCGCACGTGCCCATGGGTGTCGCCGGATGGTGTAAGTCCTCAATCTTTCCTCTCGTTCTCCGCTCCCCGAAATCGCAAACTAATCATCACACGCTAGATGTCAATGCGGCCATCGGTTCTGTTATCGATGCGCCGCGGCTTGGGAAACTTGTCGCTGCAAACGAAATGCGATTGATAGATCACTCAAAGCTACCAATACGTATGCGGGTAACGAAAGTTTCATAGAGGTCAATGAAGATGGTGATGAGGATAGTGATGAGGATGGGGATGAAGATGGTGATGAAGACGATGGTACATAAGAATATCGACCTGGGGTTCATAAAGATAGAGTGGATATTGCGCAAGGAATCATAGAGAAACAATCTGCTGTGGCTCATCGGGATGATGTGTATGATGGGAGGGGTTGATGAACGGGACCTGGAGTTATGGAAAACTGCATATCGTGGTTAGAGCGTTGGCCGGGATTTCAGAGGCGTATTTGCGGAGTGGGCATAGCAATTAGAGAGTTCTGGGTTTGTGGTTTACGGCATGTTTTGTGGGCAGTGGTTACAGCAGTTCTAGCAATTCAGCGGGAAGGGTTCGGGGTTGAGATTTTCTTTGCATCTTGTTCCCAAATCGAGTTGCTATCGAGTCACTATGATCCTGCCAGCGAAGTAGTTTATTCGTACAAATGCAAAATACTGAATTATGTAGATATGCTTGCTCCAATACGCACTCTTTCAGGTGAAAGAACAAGTTCATTGTCCAAATTATCCATAACGGGTAACCGTAAGCTATACAGAAACCCAAACTAAGTAGACATTTCCCGCCCAAAGCCATCTTGTTCATCAAAGGAATGTAAAATACTCAGTAAAGAGTGTTCCAGATGAAATCTCAAGTTTTAGGGGAAGGTACTAGGGAGATTTCGAAAGCATGACTGCTGTCCAACTCAATATATCTGGCACAGACCCGGAATTGGTTCAGAAGCTTTATTTATATAGATGCTCTTTGTCTATCAGACGAAAACCCAAGTGAAGATGAAGAAAGAACCTCACCTTTATGTCGAGATGGTGGATGTGTATAATAAGATGGCCGTGAACCTTCAACCCCCTACCCGGCATTTATTTATATAACATCGCAGAGCAGGTATATTGGTGAGAGCAAGAGCTTGACAATGTGAGCTTGTAAGAGTTGCACCACAGGTTTTTCTGAATGCCAAGTTTCCAATGTATTTAGTTGCGTGAAAAGGTTGAGCAATCGAGAATGGAAGGGTAGAAGGGTGTTCGAAAGTTCAAGAGCTCAAGATCATGAGCATTCAGAGATGACGCATGTATAGAGAAAAACAGTCTAACCAGGCGAGTATCTTGCGCATGAGAGTTGAAATTTATGCCGTGGAGTTGCAATGATAGGTGCTCAAAGGTTGGGAATTGCGACTTTGTCGACGTAAAAAGCGTACCGGACGCCGTAGACATGAGCAGATATATATACTGAAGTTCTTCAGCTTCGAAAGTATTTGAGCTATTACATAACTCGGTCTCTGTCGGCATGAAATGGAATAACATATCTGCTGTCATGCATTCATGCATACCTGAAAATCAAAAGGAAATGAAGTACAAAGACTTTGTTGCTGGCGCAGGTTCAGCGCCAAAGAGAAAGAAGTTTGTAGGTGGTGGATCGGAACATAAAGGCGTACATGCTGAACTTTCTCCCATGAGAAAGTAAAGAAGATTCCTCTTGCAATATTTCAATAAGGTAAATCTGTGATGCTATGATGCTATGATGCAAGCAAAAGGTAAAGATTGATTGCGCAGCCTCGCCCTTGATGATAAAATACGTTCTTTCTTGATGCGAGTGTCACACCTCAGTTCTTTATTAACATACCGTTGGTGTGGAATTGAAAAACGTTGTCATATAAGCAAACAATCAATAGATTGAAAATACTCGAGTAAATTTCCTGTTTTGGATCAACAACATCAGAACAAGAGTGGTGCCCATGGAAAAAAAATGAACCAGAAAAATGAGCAAAAAAAAGCAAAAGGATAGGGAGAAAGGTACGTGCAGGTAGTTCAACAATATAGATGAACGCTGTATACCTAAGCCACGAGGGGACCTCGAAGCTGTCGGAGAGGACGGCCAGTTGAGTTTAACAATATAGATAAACGCTGTGCCCTCAAGCAGATGGACCAGACCATTCCGCTAAACTGTCCGAAGACGAAGGAAACAGCACTATCGGGAAATAAGTATACCAAATTGGGTCTCAGTTGGTGTTAGCTCAGTATGCAATCTCGATATTCAATTCACAGCATTCACCGGCGGCCTCCCTCATTGGCTTCATGACTAAGACGCGTCGCTGATAAACAATATGAGGCCGCCGTATAAATTCGCGTGATTCAATTGAACTTCAGATCTCGTGATAGCAATAATACCAGTATGCTTACCGATTTCAAGTGTACCACTCCCCATCACCATTCAACCACATCAAAATGAACACTGCAGTTAGTGATTTTTATTCTCTGTGCCACCAGATGGGCCACCCTCCTCCGACTTTTATTAAGCTCAATAACCAGCCAAAGAACCGCGTTGCCCTAGTGGTAACAGTATATGGCCAACAAATTGTCTCCTCGCGTCCAGAAAGCACCTACAAGGCAGCCAAGACTGCTTTGGCTAGAAAGGCTACACATTATCTCAGTGGTAGTCAGACTACTATGCCACAAATTGCATTTGATGCTGTATGCTTGATTATCCATATGAGCCGTTAGCTCTGGCTAACTCAACGAATAGGGCAATGCAATCTTCGGAAACAACGGGCAAAGCATTAGCAATGCAAGCGCCTCAGAGCACCAAGCGGCTAATTTGGCTGTAAGTGAATCACGATACCAATTCTCACGTATCACCGATAGATTAATGGCAAAACAGCCGCTCCCCCGCAACGCCCTCAGCACCGATGACCAATTATATCTCGAAAAGCACTTCAGACGTCAAATCATCAGTCAGCTGGGCAGCGCTACTGGTGTTTAGGTCACAGCAGCAGCCGACCTCATGGCTGGTATCATCCTGAGGCGTCCTGAAGGACAAACAACGGTGTGGCATGAAGCGATGAGGGTCTTCACGGAGAGATTGACCCAGAGATTGAATGAAAGCAGTGGCTAGAAGGTAATATATGTTTCTAGCCTTGGCTGTCTAGATGTGTAAACCACGGGAATGTAAATTGGAAACAGCCAATAATCTGCAAACTCTTGGAGATCTTTTGAAACTGAATGTTCAATCTGGCCCTAGAGTAAAGATTTACAGAAGGTGAATCGAACTAATTCATTTTGGTATTATCTTTATTCTCAAGCGAGAAAAGCCGATCTAACTACCAACGACGGTTCAACTGTGTTATTTTATGTATTGAGACTCTTTAAATATTCAGTCTATACTGCATGCTCGATACTGGATGGCAATTGCTCGTTCTAGGCTCTCAAGCACAATTTCGTTCCTTTTAAGCTTGGATTCGTAATGTGGTAATGTTCTTTTTTTTTTACTGCTCTCAATAATACACTTTCTTAACTTCGACCACTAGATCGCAGTGATGTATTACTCAGTCTCAGTTTCTACCGCTATTCTCTCTCAGCCTGCGATCTCAGATATAACGAGTCTATTGTCTAGCCTCTCCCTCCCATGATATCACTTCTTAGCTTCGACTTCTAACCAGTAGTGACATGTGTTCAACTTCAGCTCCAGATACCACGTCTTACTGCTTTCATCGAACTGGCCATCAATTAATTGTTATAGCGAGCTACTACTCAGCTTCTACTTTCCATGTATCTCTTCACCTTCGGGATTTTATATTATGGATCCGTTCCCTACTTCAGGTATCGATTCCAAAAAGCAAATGCTTCGTTTATTCTTCATGCTGTTGTTTCAATGCTCCTTCGACGTTTGAACAACGATAATCTCTCTTTACTCTCCACTTTGTCTCTATCTCTTCTTGACTCTACTTTCTGGTGATCGAGCTGCTTATCTTGTTTGTGCCAGGAATCACGTGTCTACTACACACGTGATCGTATTCTTCATGGATGTTATCCAGTGCACTGCTCACTATTCGATCTAGCCTAGATGTGCAGCTTAGTTTCAACAGCGAAGCTAATAACTACATGAGCTGCTATCTTGGCATAACATGAGCGATTATGCACAACTTCTCCTCGCCCCTTATAGCACCAAGAAAGAAGGATACCAGCATAGGCTGCCATGCTGGGAAGAACAACTCATACGATTGCGTGCCCCTTTCTTGCCCTGCCTTGCCATATCAGTGTACAGGACGCGCAATAATTCAGCATCAAAGCTTCTCCAGCCCCCTTTCAATATTTCCCCATGCACGTAACCACCTCAGCTGCAAACTCCTTACAAATCCATATTTCTCATCAAAAGCAAGACCTTCGTCTAAAACACCTGCACATATGCAACGCAGTCTTGCACCTTCCTTAACGTTTCAGATACCAACAGTATAGATACCAGCCCTCCACTTTCCAATAACATGAACTCTCATGTTGAAGGTCGAAGGATTTTGATACTCCACTCCCCATCTCCCCGCGACCACCTGAATCCTCCTCCCTCCTTTATCGGAAGGTCGGAGACATATCATATCATGATCATCAGTGATAGTCCGATCACATGCATCATCTCGCACCCAGACTTCCAGGTTTATCGGATTCGCAATCTGTCGATCGCGGACATCCTACGCTCCTTATCCATTCTTCGCCCCTTGATCATACATCTCTGTGGCAAAATGATCTCTTCAGCATCCAATGATTGAAGCTGGAAAGGGGCGATCCTATGAATATCTCTGCCTCGGTTACTATCCGACATGTACCTCAATCTATGGACTTTTGATCGTTGACGCCGTTGACGCCTTAATCTGATGGATCTACAAAACATCGTTAACCGAAGCAAAAGGCAGCATCCACTAACAAGTCTTGAATTCCTCGCTTCAATATCCTATGGCCGCCCTTACCTTTTTGCTAAAAGGCATCTCCAATCCTCACCCCACCGGCCGCACGGCTTGACCCCGGTCCCATTACACACCCAATCACAATACATCAAATCTTGCATTTGTCTCTCTGCATTTCGTCCGGCACTTGCTTCAATCCAGGCTCCACCGGACTTTGCGTGCCCGCTCACTTAGTAATATTCTCAGTCCGCTCCGCCCCACCACGTACCCCTGGTTCTGAGACTCGGGCCACCAACCAACCACTGAGCAGATCCAAAATTAACTTTTACATTATCCCCTGTCCCTGTCGCTCAGGTCACACTATCTGGCCTCTTTCCAGGTAAATCACCTCGCGTGCAGACTCGCTGCAGTTGCTTTGTTTGCCTTATGGACGGTGGAGCTAATTTCTTAATGCGCTTCCAAGGACCAGGATGGCAGGTTCATTGATCATGCGACTACCATGCGCTATTAAAATCCCAACCGTAGAGAGAATTTCCACTAGCACAAGCCATGATACAGTCTACAGACAGACCTTATGTTACACTAGAGTACCGGCCCTGGGTCAATGTATTATCGACCCTCCATGTTGGCGCTTAGCGCTTTGACATTTTATGTTTGTGAATGTTGTTCAGCATAAAGAAAAAAGACCCTTAATTTATGTCAAACTCTAAGCACTCGAGGAACCCTGAGTTTTGCGATGCTGGAGTGCGAAATAAGGAAGTTGTGAAGTAAAATCGATTACGCTAAGGTTAAGGATGATGCCCAAGCTAAGCGAGAAAGCAAGTAAGGATTTCCATCAAGAATCTATGGGGCGGAAAAACAATTCCCGATACTGATCCACAAGCACATGCGTGTGCTTCAAGAGGACGCAAGGGATCCTTATTGTTCTAGAAAAGGAATGGAAGGGAGGAAAAGCCCTGGAGGCTAGGGCAAACCTAGCTAAAACTTCACTTGTAGGAGGAATAGATCAAGGCTAACCTAACTAACCTCTTCTTCAACATACTTCAATTGACCACTCGCAACAGCTCTTTTGTTTACGATTCTGCATGCATGTTCCTTTCAAATAAGACAAACTACTGTACTCCTTCTCCTCGCGTACGCCAAGTGTCTCAATATCTTCTGGAAGGTCGCATGGAAGGCCGCATGTCGTGTTAAACATGTGCTCGTTCCTTCGTCTCTTGTGTATATGTACATATGCTATTAATTTCTTCACACCGCCTCTTTGTTTCCATAGCTCATGTACGATTACTCTTACATTTTAAAAGTTGGAACAATATCAATGCATCAGTGCATGAGGATCAGCATCAGGATTCACTCAAGCAAGCTCCATCCAACATTTCTTGCGAGAAATAGCAAGGAAATGCCACGCGAGGAAATCTTCCACAATGGATCTACTCCATCACCTACAGATAAATTGCAGCATGGAAGTTTACCTGTGATGAGCACCAGTAGTATGCAATGCAATGTAATGTCATGTCATGTACGGCGATATATTATATGCACATGCCTGCAGGTGATATAAATCTCGTAACGTAACAAAGATCATTTTGGGATATCCATCGCCAATCTCCAGCCCAAACAATAAAAATTTCAGCATTGCGTAGCCTGCGCAACGGAAATCATAAACCAAACGTCGTAAATTACCTATAACTTAAGATTTACATGAAATTCATTACCAGCACCAATGCTCCATTTTAAAGAGATACTGGCCAGGGATGTTAGTCACAAAATCGGGGAGTTCCGCTCTGTGCGCCAGCGGCTCATTACTCAATCCTAACTTTATATACTGGACCTGCTCATTTTAGCCTGTCTGGCTGAGCGTGTCTGCTACCGAATCTCCCGGCTGGTATTGTCTACCGAAACGCCTTTACCGAAACTAATCGTCTACAACTTCCTCGTTTGGCAGTGGACGGTTCGGGGTTTAGGACTTTATGATCCAAATCGTGCGGAAAGGAAGTTCGGCTATAACACTCACTCACTAGTTCTTGTGGGCATATAATCAAAATGAACCACAACCGTTGGATTTCCAATGTTAGCTTGCGGGACGAGAGGTGAGAAATTAGAGTCTAGAATTGTGTCCGGATTGATAATTATGAAAAAGAAGCGATGCATTTACATTTTGAGCCCATGTTGTGGGAATTTGCCGTCGTTTTTCGAGGGTATTTCCCGAGGAGAAATTTAATTTAGACTCTTGACATGTGTTTTATAAGAATCGTTTCGGGCCGTCCGATGTCATCAATTACATAAATGGTCTCGGAAAGCCATCTGTTTTCGAGAGTGCGGCGTGGATTTCCACGTGTGATTTGGGGTCTACCGAAGTGGCAGTTGAGCACGGTAATGAACCAAGCCATTGGTGTGACAGTTCACGAATGGTGTGTAGATTAGATTCCAAAAATTAACGGAGATTGGATGTGAATACGGATCGAGTGGAAGAGGTCGATTAGAAGGGGAAGTGCACGAATGTTTATGTTATTCAACACTTTAGTGTTATGCTATAAGATTTCAAACGTCTTTATTACTACGACGCACAATAAGATTTCACGCCCAAGCCAGCTCGCAGTATCTCAACACGACTGGGTACTTGGATATATCCATAAGATGCCGAATCAAACATTCAATGCAGGGTCCTGCACCATACCAGGGGTTTCCTTTCATCTCTCTCCAACAACTCACTCGTCATCCATTTAGCATCGTTCCCAACGGAGAAATGCAAATTTACGAGCGGAGTTCAGCATTCCTCTCCTCTCCTCTCCATCAAGGAAGATCTTTCTTCCATGATTTGCTGCCACTACCCAGTTGCACACATCCCACCTTTCATACCTTAACTACCGCCGCACAGGTTTTAACTTTCCAGCATGGACCAAACGTTGAACGCTCAAACTCAAAATATCAAGCTCGCTGCCAAAGATCCACTCTTTCATGTATTACTGCAAGACCGTGGAAAAGTCAAATAGATTCAATATCCGTCAGATAAATGATTCCACAGCACGGAGCAGAGAATGAGCAGGCTTGAGCCGCTACACTTGCCATGGCTTGTCTACCTTGTGTT